GAGCAAGACATTAATTACTGTTGAATTGAGCCCCTGACACTTTGGAATATCTTGTTACAGCAGCTAGCGATACTCTAAGCAATTTATATACCTTTCGTGTTCTAGAATATATAGAAATAGCAATCGTTCTTCGGGGAGGAGGTGTTTGCAAAAGTTTCCTCGCTTTCCCCAGCTTAGGAGCCCGTCCTTAAATAGCCCTGACGCAAATGACATCAGAGGAATTTGGTGACGTTCGCCTGGTAATCGAGGTGCCCAGGCCAAGAGCACGTGACCTTATCAACAAGTCTGGCACTTTGGTGTGTCCTTAAGCAGTATCTGGGAGGGGGTGGGGTGGGGGGAACCGAGCCTTCTGGGGCCCTTGCCTGAAGTTTAGCATCTAGTTTGGTTCTGTGTGTCAAACTGACGTGGATCCTCCAGGCAAGAATGGAATGTTTCATTCTCATTGATAGGATTTTGAGCATGAAGCTTTTGGTAGCCTGTGAATTTTAAAGACCACGTTTCCCAGCGAGTAAGAAAGCAGGAAGCCCTCGGAGAAGGGGCTTGTTTGCATCTTCGTGGCTGCAGCATTACATTGGGAGAAATAGTATCTCCCGTTAACTATGCAATTGGCTTTAGCAAACGTGTCTATTCTCCCAGCCTGCTCACTGGCAGGGCAGATTTTTACATTCCGAGCTAACTCGTCCTTCCTCACTCCTCTGTAATGCCATGCCCACTCCTATTTTATTGTGTCTCTGAACTCAACCCCATGCCTGTCCTCAGTCCTTCACAGTTTCATGATTTTATGCTTGTGGTTCTTCGAGTGATCTGTGGGGCCCTCGGGTCCTCAAGAACACCTAGTCCCTTCCTGAGGAGCACTTCTCCCAGCAGGTGCCGGGGAATGGACAGGAGGGAGCGCGAGTTCCAGAGCCCTCCTGCTTCCAGAAGCCCTACTGGAGGCAGTCTTGATTCTTCCTGGATGGGGCCAGGTACCTCGGGCCAGACTGCCAATAATGTCAGAACGGCCAGGCATTTTGGAGCTATGGATACCCAGGTAAAAATAACCCACTGATCATTCTAGAGCAGACAACTGAAAGTTACTCCTACACATATTTCGAATACCATATTGGTGCCTGGAGCACTTCACAGCTGCATTTTTTTAAAGATATTATTTTATTTATTTATTTGACAGAGACACAGAGAGACAGCACAGATAGGCAGAGTGGCAGGGAGAGGAAGAAGCAGGGAGCACGATGCGGGGCTCGATCCCAGGACCCCGGGATCATGACCTGAGCCGAAGGCAGACGCTCAACGACTGAGCCACCCAGGCGCCCCTCATAACTGCGTTCTTGACAGGTGAGCTGAAGTATCCAGGGGAAAGTGCACTGATGTCTGCCACTTACTTTAAAAGGCATGAAAAAAAAAATAAGTAAGGATTGAAATACACAGGTGAGAATGAATGGAAGGATAGATTATAACAAAGTAAGCAGCAGTCCAGAGCTGGTCTGGCTGCTCAGAGATACATCCATACGCAACCCCCCACCCCGCCCCCACAGTGGCCTCCGGAGACTTCTGCTCACTTCTCAGTGGGACGTGGGGGCAAGTGCAGAGTTCGGGCTCTAAATCCACCTGGGAGCACTCCTGGCTGGTCCCTAGGAACTGCCTCTACCGCCTTCCAACTGTTTCTGTGATGCCTTTGAGAAAGAGAAGTTTTCCTCCAAGAAGAACTCCTCCTGACCCTATGGTATCAGGTCAAGAACTTCCTTGTGTTGCTCCAGAGGGTCTGAGCAGGGAAGGCGAAGGGCAGGGCGAGGAAGGAGAAGAAAACGTCCCCGCGGTGACTGGCACCCAGCGCTTTGGGTTCAGCTGTGTTCCCGATAGCTTCTATGGCCCTCCAGGCGCACACTGCTGTAGGCCCGGGGGGCTGATCTCCAGGCTCTCCCACCAAAGGCCCCCAGGCCCCCTCCTGCAGCTGGACAAGTGGTGTTCATGACCTCGGCAGAAGGGGAACCTGTGCAGGTGGAAACTAGGGGGTGTCTCTGGAAGAAGGTGTCCGAGGGGACTTGGCATAGAGTTTGGGCTTGTGTTAGGGAATTTGGGGGAGGGCTCATGGAAGCAGGGCTTTGCTCTAGACAGGATGCTGCCGGGGAGGTGGGGAGGTGTCATTCTTTATGGGGTTAGGGGTTAGGTCTTAATAGGTCTGGTGTAGGAGGAAGACTATCTATGGAGGCTACAGCTGGAACTGGTGAAGGTTCAGCAGTCTGTCGAAGCCTCTCTCCCAGGGCGATGTTTGGTCCCCGCTGTGGTGTGGACGTGTTTTCCTCCACATTCATACACAGTTGCTGAGTGGTCTTGTGCTCATCTCGATCCATCATAGTGACAAATGCTCTTGCCTGATGTTGCTGTGCTGTGAAATTGCTTATGTTCAACAGAAAACTGAGACCGGGCCGATGTCCGGGTGTTGAGGGTTGCATTTTTCCTTCTCAGGGCACCGTCTTGACCTGTGGCTTCTGGCTGGGGTTGGTCCATGGGGAGCCATAGCAGATGCTAGAAGAGGGAGAGAGGAGAGAGAAGTCTGGGTACTTATTCCCCGGGGGGCTCCCTCCCCGCGGGGCCACCTGTAGCTGGCTAGACATTCCCCTTCAAAGGTCAAAGCTCCTCTTAAGAGAGCCCTCTCTACACGACTCTGTTCTTTTAGGTCTTCAGAACAGCCTCTTTTCCTCCTCTCCTTGGGGTTAGGGGTGGGTGGTAACCCCCGGGGTTCCTGGCCCCAGGGTAGAGCTCTACCCCACATTTTGTAAACAGCTCCAGAGGGAAACCCTTCCTGAATTATCCAAGGTGAGTGTGCTGTCTGATACCTGTTGAGAGCCTCCCTGGGACAGGAGGCTCCCCAGAACGCAGGCTCCTTGATCCTTCTACAGCGCTGGGCTCTGATAGAACTTGTATTGGAATGAAGCGTTATGAAGATGGCAGGATCCTTCTGGAGCGCATGGCTGAGTCCCCAGCCCCAAAGCAGAACTTTGTGCAGCCACAGAGGCTGCGAGCCTGAAAAGGGCTCTGGGGCAGACTCTCCTGTGTCACCCGAGTTCCCTCCCCGGCCGGGAGAAGACAGGCAGTATGTGCACTGCAGGTCAGGCCCTGGGCAGCCTCGGGAAAGCACGCTGAGCCGGGCTACTGAGCGGACCATGTACGTTCTCCACGGCTGACTCGGGCCTTTGGCTTCACGGTGAATGTGGGGCACGGAGCAGCGATCCCGAGCCTCCTCACTCCAGAGAAGCTTCTTTCCCCCACAGAGCTGCTCGGGCCAGAGTCTGTGACAGGGGATGAGAATTGGTCAATGTTAGACCGTTAAGCAAAGACAAAATGATAAAAATGGGAAAAAAATATAGACAAGTCATATCTTAGAGAAAGAGCTAATCTCCGTAAAATAGAAAACAACCCAGGAGAAAAATGAGTAAAGGAATTATTAGTTCATAGAAATTATTAGTTCATAGAAAAGGAAATAACACATGAAAGCTTCTCAGTAGAGAACCAGATACATATGTCAGAGTGCCCTTCTCCAGGAAAGATCATTCTCACTGTTGGATACAATGCTTGGTAAAATTTCTACCTAATTCCATCTCTTCGTTCAGGTTCTCCAAAAGCTGACTTTTGAGTCGAGGACTTGGGTGCACGTGGTCTACTTGGGAAGTGACCCCAGGAAACCCAAGTTCAGAAACAAATAAAGGGAAAAAGTCAACTAAGTGAAAAGTGGCAGAAAGGGTATGTTAGCTAGTTGGTTACTGTCTGGGCAACTGGGCCCAATCCCACCCTGTACTCTCAGAACCCTCCTGGCAGGGGTGGGTGCCTGGGCCCCGTATGCACAGCCCCCATCACCCTTTGGGTTAAGGCTGCCCCTAGGGGGGCCAACTCCCCTGCCCTCCCAGGTTGGGCCACCTGTATGCGAAGGAGCAAGCATCATCAGTGTTAGAGAAAGCTCTCAGACGGAGAAGAAGTAGGCACCTGGGAACTTGTCACCTTGCAGGAAACTATCTACCTGAACTGGACCAAGGGCACATGGGATTGCACATTGACAGCGTTCTTTACGAGGCTCCGCCTGGAGAATGTAGGGAATGCCTGGTAAGGTCTGTCAGCAGCCCCCTCCACGCCATCCGTGCAGCAGCCATGACTTCCATCTTCCAATACATGTCCACGTTCCGTGGCCCCGCTGCCCACCTCCCTACGACCAGGGACTGGATCTGGTCCCCACACCCCACCCAGGCCAGGCCGGAGGGCAAGCTTTGCACGTTTTGGCGGAATGGCCCAGCACTGTGTCACCAGTCACACCCTAGCAGGTATGTCTGGGAGGTTCGGGAGGGCGGTTTTCATGCACAGTGTGGTGCGGAGAAGCAAAGGTGGGTGATCTGGCGGGAGAGCGACTGAAGCAGATGTATGGACGGACTGCGTTGGGGGGTGGCCTCCCACTTAGCTTTGTCACTCAGGCGCTGAACAACAGCTGAGCGCAGAGCCCAGGCTGGGCCTTGTAAGGGAGAGAGAGGAATCACAGAGGGCAAGTATCTGCTCCCGGGGAGCACAGACTCCGGTCCCTGGGAAGATGGACTCACGTCACCTCGGCAGCAAGAACGCGGGACAGGCTGGAGTAACGGGCAGAGCCTGCGAGTCGGAGGGGTCTGAGAACACGGCCTACTGGGAACGTGTGGAGTTGTTCTGGGAGGACGGAGACATGAAGGCTAGGTGGGGGCCCAGAGGCAGAAATGGAGAGCGACGGCGGGGAGGGGGGAGGCGGTGCGGGCCTCGGGACTTCGAGCCCTGGGATGCAAGGCCCTGCAGTTTTGAAGTGAATCAGAAGCGATTTGGAAGCCTCCCGAGGAAGCATGTAGGCACTTGGGGAAATACTAAGAAATGTGCGTTGGAAGATTATTCTAGAAGCTAGAGAGTGGCCGGATTGGGGTCTGGGAGGGGCGCTGTGTGGGTGTAGGGGGTGTTGGGCTCAGCCAGACCACCCACCACCGGCAGACCATGAAGCCCACGGGAAAGCCTCTGCTGGCTGCCGTCTTCCAGCCCCCACTGGAACGCGCCTCCCTGTCCTCAGTGCCTCTCACTGAGCCCTTTCGGAACGGACGACGGCGTCCATAAAGGCGGCTGCGCTGCTGTCTCGCTTCGTTCTTTACCAGCCCCTCCCTCTCCCGCGCCCCCACTACCGCCCCCACAAGCCCCGCAGCTGGAACGGATTCTTCTGGCTCGGGAAGTAAGGCCGCTTATGTTTCCCTCATCGCCTCCCCAGCCCCAACTCCAGCCACTACACACTCATCCGTCTACACACAGAGGCCGCTCCGGGAGTTGGCCTGCTTCTGAAAATGAGAAAAAAGGACATTTTAAACGTCCAGAGATAATCGCAAGAAGCTACACGCCGCTGTGCGATTTTAAACTTTGTGTGTATTCTGCCTGGTGACTGGTGAGTAAGTGGGCTCAGGGATGCCATTGGCTGGTTGACCCACAGCCGGCCAATCCTGGGCTCTAGACCATTCTTTGGCATCTAAGGACTCTGTGGTCACAGTGGACCCGGTGCCGGGTCCCGCGGCCGCGCACGCCGCGACTAATGCGAGGCGAAGAAAAGGGTTTTTTCTCCGCTTTCAGAACGTTTTGTTCTCCGATTGTGATTATGAGACTAGAGAGAAGAAGGACAACAGGAAAATCTTCATTTGAGCGTCAGAGGAGATAAAACGCAGAAGTGAATTCGAGAAGGTAGGAAAGGGAGGGTCGCGCGAGGCCTCCGGGACAGGGCTGGGGCGTGAGACGGTGGAAGGCAGGGTCCCCGGGAGAGGGCCGGCTCTCCACGGCTGCCCTCACCTCCCTGCGCTCTGCAGGATTCCAAGGGAGGATGGGGAGGCGGGGCGAGGAAGGGTATGGAAAAAGATCGAGTGACACCTGCAGAAACTCAACTCTGGCCAGAGAAGTGAGCCGGGGAGGGCGGAAAGCTGCTTCCCGGATCATCGCCTGTGGCTTATCCGCGGAGTGTTTAAGGAGTCAGTCTACCGGGAGAGGAAGGGCGCTGCTCATCACAGAAGTTGGGGCACTGAGGACCCCAGTGCGGATCACAGGAAAGTTTGACTTCGGTCAGAGCTGGCGCCAAATTTCTCCTCGTCTGTACCCCCAGGCGTCGTGTCGCTGACTCTCCCGGGAGCCGCCCGTTTGGCTCAGATGGCGCCAGAGGCTGCCCTGCGCGGGTCGGCGCCCCGCTCGCTTCTGACCTTCGCGCTCCTCAGCTGCTCTGCGCTGCCCTCAGGTAGGGGCGCCTGCCTCGAGCTCCTGCCGGCCCTTCGGACGGCAAAGATCAGCACTTCAGTCTGCAGAGCGGGAGAGTGAAGTCCTGCGGCGGGGGTCCCGCGGCTGGGGTCCCGCGGCGGGGGTGCCGCGGCTCGCACTCTGCACGCGCTCTCCGAATGTAGACCCGCGCGGAGAAACCCAGCGAGGGCCACAGAGGCGGGCTGCGCATACACTTTTAAGTTCTCCAGTAGCTACCTTTAAAATAGCAGAAAGAAACAGATGGAATAAATTTTAACAATGCATTTTGTTTAACCCCAAATAACCAGAATATTGTTATTTAAACTTTGAATTGATGTAAAACATGAACAGTGAGATGTTTGACATTTTTTATTCTAACAGTTCCAAATGGTGTGTATTTTACATTTACGGCACATTCCAGTGGGGACTAGTTCGTGGCTGGTGGTACCATAACGGACCCCTCAAGTGTATCCTACCCCCCAGGCCCTGCGCTAGATCGGGGGGATAGAGGGGAAATCTCTGTAAGGCCAGGGTCAGCACGAGGTCCTCAGTATGTGCTTTTTAATAAGTGTTAGCCGTTTCAGTCGAGCCCCCCACCAGCCATCTGGCTGCCCACCAACCCCAGCTACGGGCCCCCAACAGGTCAGCTCAGGAAGCCCCTGTGGCCTTAGAAAGATTACTTCTGTCCCCCGGAATATCCTCTTCCTTTCCTGCCTTAGATCTCTGATGGCCGCGCCGTCTGATTCTGCTCCTTTGTTGAACAGCCCAGTTTACTGTCGTGGGGCCAGCTGACCCAGTCCTGGCCATGGTGGGAGAAGACACCATGTTCCACTGCCACCTTTCGCCCGAGAAGGACGCGCAGCGCATGGAGGTGCGCTGGTTCCGCGCGCAGTTCTCCCGGGCGGTGCTCGTGTCTAAGGGCGGGCGAGAGAAAACGGAGGAGCAGATGGAGGAGTACCGGGGAAGGACCACCTTGGTGAGCGAACGCATCAACACCGGGAGCGTAGCGCTCGTCATCCGCAACGTCACAGCCCACGACCACGGCATCTACCACTGTTACTTCCAAGAAGGCAGATCCTACGACGAGGCCATCGTGCGCCTGATGGTGGCAGGTGTGTCCTTTCATTTTGCTGGGTTGCTTTTCCGGGTGACCCTTAGGAGAGTTTCTCTCCTAACCTGAGGCCCACTGCAGCCCAGCAGATTTTAAAACAGGGAAGGTGGCGGGGCGCCTGGGTGCCTCATCGGTGAAGCGTCTGCCTGCGGCTCAGGTCATGATCCCGGGGTCCTGGCTCATTTCTCAGCCGGAGCCTGCTTCTCTCTCTCCCTCTGCCTGCTGATCCCTCTGCGTGTGCTCGCTCTCTCCCTCTCTCGGTGTCAAATAAAATATTAAAAAGAAATAAACAGGGAAGGTGGCTTCCTCCTGCCCAAGGACCAAATGAGTGGGCTTGCCCTGCCAGGCTGTGGGCATCAATTCCTGAGAAGTGCACACAGAGCTCCGCTGTAGCCTTTAACTGCTACAGATAATTCTCATGCCTACTTAGAGATCTCCAAGGGTCTTGCTCAGCGACTTGCTTTAGAATTAGACACTTTCATTGTGAATTATAATACACATCCAGAAAAACTTATAAAACATTAATGTACAGATTACTGAATCACTATGAACTGTAACCCATGTGACCACTACTCATATCAACAAATAGAACACTGCCTTCTCCTGACAAAATACCACAGACCAGCTTAAACATCAGAAATGTATTTTCTCACGGTTCTGGAGGAAGATCAGGCTTCTCCTGAGGTTTCTCTCCTTGGCTTGCTGATGGTCAGTTTCTCACTGTGTCTTCACATGGCCTTTTCTCTGTGTGGACACATCCTGGGTATCTTTCTCTGTATGTACTGGTATCTTCTTCACGTCCTAAGGTACTGGAGGTTAGGAATGGAGGGGGGCATAATTCAGTTCATAATATGCCCATTCTCAAATTTCCCAATTGAAGCATGTTCCTAGAAGTGCTGTATAATGAGAAATATTTCTCTTCCTCTTTTAAAAAAAAAAATTTTATTTGGGCACATGGGTGGCTCATTCGGTCAAGCATCTGCCTTCAGCTCAGGTCATGATCCCAGGGTCCTGGGATGGAGCCCCGTGGTGGGCTCCCTGCTCGGCGGGAAGCCCGCTTCTCCCTCTCCCGCTCCCCCTGCTTGTGTTCCTGCTCTCACTGTCTCTCTCTCTGTCAAAAAATAAATTAAATCTTTTAAAAAAATATTTTATTTACTTATTTGAGAGAGAGGGAGAGCATGAGCCAGGGGGAGTAGCAGAAGGAGAGAGAGAAGCGGGCTCTCCACTGAGCAGGAGCCCAATGCGGGATTCCATCCCAGGACCCCGGGATCCTGACCTGAGCTGAAAGCAAACATTTAACCAACTGAGCCACCCAGGTGCCCCTCTCTTCTTCTTTAATAGATACTATAAATTTGTTTTCTAAAATGCTTGTGCTAATATACACTCTTACCAATAGCATAGGATTCTCCATACATTTTTCATCAAGTCCAAAGACAAGTTTTTCACATTCGATTTCAATCCATCTCTTCTTTCTTTTTTAAAAAAGATTTTTATTTATTTATTTGAGAGAGTGAGAGAGCACAAGCCGGGGCGGTGGGGGGGGGGGCGGGGAGGCATAGGGAGAAGCAGACACCCTGCCGAGCAGGAAGCCTGACTCTGGGATCAGTCCCAGGACCCCGGGATCATGACCTGAGCTGAAGGCAGCCACCCAACCAAGCCGCCCAGACACCCCACCGTTTTTTCTTTCTAGTCAGTTGTTTCCCACAACTGGGAGGATCAACCCCCATCCTGGACCCTTTTCACTCCCTTTCCTGCCTTTTCCCCTCCTCTCCCATAGCCTTCTATGCGCATTTTACTTACTTATCCTGTGTGTTTTGTCTCTTCCGCTAGAAGGATGTTTACTGTTTTGCTCCTTTTGTAAGCCAATGTCTGGAACAGTCTGGGGTGTAAGAACTGCTCAACAAATAGCAACTGAATGGATGAATCTGCTCCCTAAAGCTGTAAGTGGTCATCATATCATGCTATCTCCATTCTGAGCCTGAGATCTGCTTTTTTAACCTTTTCCCCCAAGCCTGTGGTCAGGCCGTGTTTTTAATCGTCTTTGATGTGTGTGTTAGTCAGGACATGCGAGGAGATGCTCTGGTAACAAGCAGCCCTCGGAACCCAGTAGGTTAAAAGAACAAAGGTCTATTTCTGACACGTGAAACATGTCCTCATGAGTCAGGTGGGGCTCTAGTCCACACGGACCTCGCTCAGGTGGAGCTTTGCAGTTCACCTTAGCAGAGGGAAAGAGAGCCTGGCAAATCATTACTGTTCCATGTTCTTTAGACTCGTATTTCGTTGACCAAACCAAGTCGCGTGGTTATGCCTCCTGGTACAGTAGAGGGGAACTACAGTCCCAACTATGTGCCCAGGAGAACTGAAAATTTTTGAATACCCTTGAGTACCCTGAGAGTACCTTTGCAGGCTTTTGTTACTGGACTTTTTTTTTTTTTTTAAGCTTTATTATCCAAATCGCAACCAGAACCCATCAGGATCTGACAAACAACAGCAATTATTCACCACTCTATCTCCAGCATTGAGCAGATTGCCTGACACCTAGTAGGTGCTTAATAAATAGTTATAAACTGAATGAAAAACAAATATATAGCTGATATCAAAATTTCAGAGTGAGGGGGCACCTGGGTGGCTCAGTCATTAAGCGTCTGCCTTGGGCTCAGGTCATGATCCCAGAGTTCTGGGATCGAGCCCCACATCGGGCTCCTGCTCGGCGGGAAGCCTGCTTCTCCCTCTCCCACTCCCCCTGCTTGTGTTCCCTCTCTCGCTATGTCTCTCTCTGTCAAATAAATAAATAAATAAATAAAATCTTCCAAAAAAAAAAAAAGAATGTTAAAGCATTAAAAAAAAAGAAAAAAGTTTTAGAGTGAGTTTAAACTATCGAGAGTCTGAAGGCAATCAGGATGACACATGGGGATGTTAATCTAAAGCTGTACAGTCCATTAGCAATAAAATAGATGCCACAAATGTGAGCCACATATATATTTTTAAATTTTCAATAAACACATTTAAAAAGGCAAAAAAAAAAATTCAGAGTGGGAAAATTTCTCTTTGGGCCCCCTTGCATCACAGACATTCGTAAGTTCATTCAGCAAATACTTCAGAAACCGCTCCTATGTTCAAGTCACTATTCCAAGTAACCGAGGTGGAAGCAGTGAAGAAAATACACCAAGGTTCCTGCCCTCATGGCACCCACATTCTGGAGAGTGCAGAGAGCCAATCAATACAATATTTAATTAAACTGCATCTTAGATGGTGGTGAGCACTGTAGAGAAAATAAAGCAGAGAGGGCTTGAGAATGCAGGGGGGCTGGGGGAGAATAGCTTCCCTGACAGGATGGAAATCGAGCACAACCAGAACGAAGTGAGAGAGTGAGCTGTACCCCTCGGGGGCTCAGAGGACCCCACGTGGAGTCCCAGCACAGCACCCCGCACCAGGGGTCCAGAGAGGGGACCACAGACTTTGTCATCGAACTCTCTGACTCTGAGAGTGAGAAGAGCCACTGTCAGGAACCACATGGGGACAACATAGGGACGTCCCTTGTCTCAATAGATAGTAATTTTTGCCTTTTTTCCCTTTCTCCAAATACTAATTGTATTGAGAGTGAGTGACTTGTCCAGATGATTTCATTAAAGCATGATTAAGTATCAAGCCTGTTGGCCCCACAGGAAAACGAGAGAATTTGACCAGAGGACTTGGGCAAGGCTTTAGAATAGAAGTGGCATATAAACCAGGATTTCTAGGTGTTTATTTTTTATTTATTTTTTTTTAAAGATTTTATTTATTTATTTGAGAGAGAGAGAATGAGAGACAGAGAGCATGAGAGGGAGGAGGGTCAGAGGGAGAAGCAGACTCCCCGCCGAGCAGGGAGCCTGATGAGGGACTGGATCCAGGGACTCGATCCAGGGACTCCAGGATCATGACCTGAGCCGAAGGCAGTCGCTCAACCAACTGAGCCACCCAGGCGCCCCCTAGGTGTTTATTAATAATGGTTTTAAGGTATGACCTCATTCTCAGGGCCAGTTTATTATACTTTAAAAGAAACGTTTGAAGGCTGGAAGAGCCTTTAAGATACACCTAAATCAATGGCATTTCAGTCGATGAGACCAATGGAAGTAAGGCTTAGAGGACACGGTGGCCTCCCCAGGGGACCTCAATTCACAGATGGTAGGAGACGCCATCTTTGTCACCTAGAAGGGCAACCTTGTATGTGATTAATAGAACATATTGAAATATTAGCAGCCGAAATAGCTCAGTTGGGAGAGCGTTAGACTGAAATATTGTGGCAGGAGGGTTTCTCAACCCTGGTGTCCTGACTCTGTTCATAGCAGCACTGCACGGCTGACCAGGATGGGTTTGTATGTGGCAGGAACCCTCTGTTCTTTCCCTGTAAACATGACCCTGGCCAGGCCTGCCCCAGTCTGAACTGAGTCGTAGAATTGTTTATTTATGTTTTTTGTTTGTTTGGTTCATTGGCTGGTTGATTTTGTCCTTAAGTCTATTGTCTCAAACTTGCTTTGACTGAACCCCATGGAACCCCATTTTGTAGAATTTCCTTCCAACTTGCTGAATTCTTTTGAGTCTTATCACACTTCAGAGTTTCTGCCTGAGCCTTTCAGTGTGCAATTGTTTTTTTGTTTTTTGTTTATTTCTTCTTGGCAAAAATCAGATGGAGCTGGTAGCGCTAAGACTTGCATGATTGCTTTAATTTTATCTTTTGTCTTTTGTCTTTTAATTTGTCTTCATTTTGTCTTTTAATTTTTTGGATTGCCTTAACAAAGGAATTAAGAAGTTTGGATGTGAGGCGCCTATGGTCAGTTAAGCGTCTACCTTTGGCTCAGATCTTGATCTCAGGGTCCTGGGATCCAGCCCTGAGTGGAGTCGTCAGTTGGGTTCCCTGCTCATCGGGGAGCCTGCTTCTCCCTCCCTTCCTGCTCCCCATTTGTGCTTGCTCTGTCTCTCTCTCAAATAAATAAAATATTTTAAGATTTATTTATTTGAGAGAGCGAGAGAGAGCAGGGGTAGGAGCAGAGTAAGAGGGACAAGCAGACTCCATGCTAAGTGCAGAGCCCACGCAGGGCCCGATCTCAGGACCCTGAGATAACGACCTGAGCTGAAACCAAGAGTCGGATGCTCAACTGACTGCACCACCCAGGCGCCCCAATAAATAAAATCTTTTTTTTTTAAAGAAATTTGGATGAGACAATGTTGTCCAATAATAAACAGGAATTTTATTTTGTTGAGCTGTTCTAAAATAAAATTTAATTTAATTAAGAACTTTGGATGATCACTAGACCCCTGGCTGAAGGGGCAGAAGTCTTCTAGGACCGTGCACTTAACAGGTCTTGAACCAGACTTCTCTTTTATTAGAGATTCTTTTATAGACGGTATAAGTTGGGAAGAGCCTGGAATCAGGATTTTTTGTGATGTTCTGCTGACATTGAGGAGGTGATACGTTATCCTGAGGATCCCAGGAGCACCCAGATCTTTCTAATTGGTAGATGCTGTGGGGAGATCTAAGGACATCCTCTGGCTGACTGAGCCCCTGGGAGGTACACGTCTCTGAACTGGGGTAAGGGTTGGTTCTGCATTCTAGTTCTGTCCATTCTCCTAAAAACAACCACTCCTGATTACCTGTGTCACTTGCAGCCCTAAGCCGGGAGAGCAGGGACAATGTCTTGAGGTCAAAAAGTTTCCCACGATTCTACCTGGCCCAGCAGGCTTCTGTCCTTATCGGATTATTCCCGAGCTTCGGGAGACCAGCGCTGCTGAGAAGTCCCTGCAGGACGGAAAGTGAAATCCGCAACCTGCTTGTTTCAGGTCAGAGCAGACACACTCACCCAGAAGTGAGACAACCAAACCCACAGTCACTTGGTAGGAGACAGACGGATGCGCGTCACTGTGATGGGGTCACGGGTGGAGCACAAAGCCAAGTGCCTTCAGAGACCTCATGATGTATTGGCATATTGGTCTCCTGATGTTGTCCAACGCCAGGGTCTTCTTCCTTCCTCTCCTCCATCCTTCCTTTCCTCCCTCCTTTCACAGAAGGAGTCCTGTGGGAATGCATGGAATACGAACAACCAGCTTCTCCTGCCACTGGGCCCTTGCTGCCTTCCTCCATCCCCTGGCTCTCCCGGGGAGAGCTGATCTAAGACACTTAGGCTAGGACGCCATTGCCCTTTTAGCTGCTCCCTGGTCTCTGTCCCCAGGCCTGGGCTCTAAGCCCCTCATTGAAATAAAGGGCCAGGAGGATGGAGGCGTGCGGCTGGAGTGCACGTCCAGAGGCTGGTTCCCGGAGCCCCGTGCAGTGTGGAGGGACCCTCTCGGTGCGATCATGCCGGCCCTGGAGGAGGCTTACACGGCGGACGCAGACGGCCTCTTCGTGGTCACCACGGCCGTGGTCATCAGGGACTGCTGCATGAGGAACACATCCTGCTCCGTCAACAACACCCTGCTTGGCCAGGAGAAGGAAACTGTGATTTTCATCCCAGGTTGGTTCCCTGCCCTCTGGAGGCTCATCATGCCGAGGCAGGGTCCTCAGACAGACAGAGCGGAGCCTGGAACAGGGATGGGGAGATAGAAGCGTGGGGTGGAAGGGCCCTGAGCCCCGAAGAGCTGGAAGACTCTCCCTTTGTCTTGCCTCAAGGGGAAAATCAAAGTCTTCTCTGAGAGTTGTTTCTCTGTCACAGTCCTTATCCTGCAGCAATTTTTTTAAAGTTTATTTACATTATCTCTACACCCAACGTGGGACTCGAACTCATAACACCCTGAGATCAAGAGTCACACACTCTCCTGACTGAGCCAGCCAGGCGCCCCTGCAGCCATTTTTAAAACATTTAGAACAATCATAAATGGAGAGTGGTTTGGCCAAGTGTCTATTTACACCCAGAGGGCTGCCTGCTGAATCTCTCCCTTCCTGCCCATGGCATTTCTCAAGGGAAGGGTGGGTGGGATTGTCTATCTACAGACATGCACGAATTCATTCAACAAATACTTAACAAGTATCACCTACATTCAAGGCATTGTTCTCGAGACTGAAGATAAATCAGTGAACAGAATACATAAAGATCCCTGCCGTCATGGGGCTAACATTCTAGGGTGGCAGAGAGCAATAAGTGAAATAATTAATCTGCAGATTATATCAGATGGAGGTAAGTACTGTAGAAAAACTTAGTTGGGGGAGGGGACAGGGAGTGCTGGGGTAAGGGGGAGTTGTAATTATAAATAGGATGGTCAGGGAAGTCTTCACTTGAAAAGATGGCAGTTGGGCAAGTGAGGAATGAGCCGGGCAGATATTTGAGAACCAAGCAACCCAAGGAGTAGGAACAGCACATGCAAAGGCCCTGAGGCAGGAGCATGTCGGACAGCTTCAAGGAACCCCAAGGGACAGGTCTGGCTGGTGTGCAGGCAAGGATTGTTGAGGGAGTCTGAGTGACATAGGAAACACTGCAGGGTTTTGAGCAGAGAAGTCACAGGATCTCACTCCAGCTGCTGTGCGGGGGACAGACTGCAGAGGGTGTAGACGAAGCAGGGAGCGGGGAATTGCAATCTTTCGGGCAAGAAGGGGTGGTGGGGTGTGCCGGGTGGCGGCTGTGGTGATTCAGTGGTGGCTGGTTAGCCGTGTTCACCCTGGTCCTTCCCATGGCAGCCTCAGGGGCTCCTGCTTTTTTGGCTCCTGGGCCCCCAGCCCTGGCAATTCCTGTGGGATGAGCCCTTGCAGAGCCAGGGTCTCTGGGGTTTCTGAGAAAGAAGCTCACAGAGCAGGGACCCCAGGGAGCCCTTCCCAAGGGCATCGTGAGGGGCCCTCTCATCCGGGCTCTCCTTCTCTCACTGAATGGGACTCTCCTGGCTCCCTTTTCAGAATCCTTTGCTCCCAGCACCTTTCCCTGGACAGTGGGCCTCGCTGTCATCCTGCCTTCTCTGCTCCTCTTCACCGCCGGGAGCATCTGTCTCATCAGGAAACTCCACAGGGGAAAAGAGGTTGAAAATGAAGAGAAGGAAATTGCATGTAAGGAATTGGAGACAGACCATGCGGAAAAAGAGAAAGAACATCAAATAAAAGGTAAAAGAGTAGGAGGACAGGTCCCACAGGGCCACGGCTCTGGCAGCTAGAAGCCTGGGGACAGGGAGGAAATGGACAGAGGCCACGGCAAGGGGCCCGGACCTGTGGCAACCAGGGACTCACCCTCCCGCCTGCTTGCTCCCATTCTGCGGACTCAGCCCCACGCTCTGAACAATCGCAAACCTAATAAGCAGTGATAACATCCAGCCTCCAGTGCATCGATTGTTTCTGGAATCTTGACAATTCCAGAGGCAGGGGCAGTGGGGGACAGGGGTGATCACGAAGGACCCACCCTCCCTCGTCTAACACAAACTCAAATTCTCTGATTTCTTCTATTGAGGACCTGAATTGGTTTCTGTTTCTTTTTCAGAGCAACTTCAAGAAGAATTACGTAAGTGTACCGTTTCCTGAAGTAGTCCATGCAGGTGTGCACTCTGCTCGGTTGCCAGCAGCTCCTGCAGCTCCTCTGTGTGTCTGTCCCCTTGCAGGATGGAGACGAGCCCTGCTACAGGCCGGTGAGCGCCGTAGACACGCCCTCCGAGCTCAGGCGTCTGCCCCCTGGCAGCCAGCAGGGCGTATTAGAGGAGACGGGCAGGGGGCGCTGGGAGGCGGAGGGGCTGGGGTGAGCCGCAGCGCTGGGTCCCAGCTCTGCCATCAGGGAATCCCCACAGCTCCTGAGGATGTCCTCTTGTTTAGCATAATTTTATCTATCATTACCAGAGCTTTACCATACATTTACCTTTTAGTTGTTGCTCTTTGGATCCTGGATTAATTTGGGAGATGGTATAGACTCTGCACAATTGGAGAACCAAGTGATGGAAAAGCAATAAGCTCCCCCAAGCCCAATACAAGGGGGGATGCTTAGGTGTCCGGAAACACCTCTCTGCTCCCGGGGAACACTGATGGTCTGGGAATGGCCTGTGAGGGGAGGGGGTTGGTCAAGAGAGAGAGCATAGGATCCGAATTCCTCATCCTAATGAGCACTTCACATCTTATGATTTCTCCCCTTCTGCTCAAAAGCACCAAGCAATCCAGGCTTTACCAGATACTGTGGTACTCGAACCTTTCCTCTTTAGGTGAATTTCAGAACTGTCAGAGTCAGACATGTCAACAACGTGGGGAGAGGAGAAAATCACGTTTACGTGACAGAAATGTTGATCAGCTGAGTAGTAACTGTAGGTGGGAGATCTGCAGAATGTCAGGGGTCCGAAGCCTTTCCTACATCCCGAGAGGGCAGAGACGTAGGCGTCAGACCCATGTTGTTAATGCAGAAGCAGGTTGTGGAGACGTGACCCTCCCTTTTTCTCCTGGGAAGGGTGCCCTTGGGAGTCATTTAAATCAGTTGTCACCTGGTGAAACTGATGGAATCCGGAGAACCAATGAAAGGAGCTTTTACTACCCAGGAATCTGCAGGGGAAAATTGGCATTAATTGCTTCACTGGGAGAGGGAGCAGGATGGGCCTCTTTGCTGATTTAAACCAAACTGGAACGTTCCTAACTAAAGAGAGTCCCAGAGACCATATGTGTTGAATAGAAAAAGGGACAGAGCGGAGAAAATTGAGATAAAGCGGGAGCCATGAATTTTGGTTCCTTTGCTAAACTTTCCACCTTTTTAGACCCCTGATGATCCCCTCTCTGAGGCCAGGCTCCTGTTACCCAGGAGGCAGAAGTACAGCCTCAGGACTTCTGTGAGCTAGCTGCCTGGGAATTGGGATCAAGGGCCCTTCATGGAAAAGGCCGCCACACAGGGATCTCCCACCACCTTTCTGGGACCTCCCTGGGGTCCAGGAATAGCACCATCTCCTGAGACCCCAGGCCTAAACTGGAGACTTCTTCTGCAGCTGACGTGGTCCTAGACCCGGACACCGCTCATCCTGAGCTCTTCCTGACGGAGGACGGGAGAAGTGTGAGAAGAGGCCCCTCCAGGCAGAGTGTCCCCGACAACCCGGAGAGATTCGACTGCCGGCCTTGTGTCCTGGGCCTGGAGAGCTTCTCCTCAGGGAGGCATTACTGGGAGGTGGAGGTCGAAAACGTGATGGTGTGGGCTGTGGGGGTTTGCAGAGACAGTGTTGAGAGGAAAGGGGAGGCCCTACTGGTCCCCCAGAATGGCTTCTGGACCCTGGAGATGTTTGGAAACCAGTACCGGGTCCTGTCTTCCCCTGAGAGGATTCTTCCCCTGAAAGAGCGTCTTCGTCGGGTGGGCGTCTTCCTGGACTATGAAGCTGGAGATATCTCCTTCTATAACATGAGGGACAGATCACACATCTACACATGTCCCCGTTCACCCTTTTCTGGGCCCCTGAGACCCTTCTTCAGGCTGGGGTCTGATGACAGCCCCCTCTTCATCTGCCCAGCCTTCACAGGGGCGCGGGGGATCCTGGTGCCTGAGGGCGGCCTGATCCTCCACAGGACAGGGACCCGTCACAGCCCCCACGAACAGTGCCCTGGCCTCAGAGCCAAGTAGAGAAGCCTTGGCCATCTCTGCACAGCACCCCGGAAGGAAACAGGCCCTCCTTCCCGGTGCACACACGGAAGAACCTCCTCCAGAGGCCCCTCCGCCCCCCGCTTCAGGCCCAGCCCCATCCGCCCCTCATTAGGCTGTTGCTTTAGTAACTCGTCTGCTGGGAACCATGGGGCAGGGTCCGGCCTCAGAGAGGGGCTGCCACATGGCTCCCACCCATGAAGAGTGTGTGAAAGTGACAGGCTCTCCCATCAGAGTGACACATTGAGCCTGACGCTCAGGTTGACGTCAGACGCTGTGGACTCAGGGCAGGGGCATCTGGACACAGCAGGCTGTGAGGGGAGGGAAGCCACCGCTGGAGGTCAGGGACAGAGGAAGCTGCCAGGGGGCTGGGAGCCTTGCCATCACAGCCGAGGGGCGCAGGGGCTGACGGTCCATTTCCACCCCTCCCCTGAGCTTTCCAGACCACACAGCAAAGCCCTCCCAGCCTAGAACTGAGCTGGAGAAGGATGACGACACATCTCGGCCTGCCTCAGGTGTCCCCTCAATAAACTGGGAGTCAGTACTCAGTTACTGAGTGTGGCCTGAAGTCTAAGGTCTTAGCTGAGCAGGTGAGTACTGAACCAGATGGATCCCGGGGTTCAGGTTCAGTGGGGAAAGCAGCACTTTCCCACTTTTTGACCTCAGGCTGCCTTTAGACATTAAAAATTATGGAGAGGGACCCCTGGGTGGTGCAGTCGGTCGAGTGTCCAACTCTTGGTTTTGGCTCAGGTCTTGATCTCCTCTGGGGTGTGAAATCGAGCCCCTGCATGCTCTGTGCTCAGCAGTCTGCTTGAGATTCTCTCTCTCACTCTCCCTCTGCCCTTCCTCCTGCTCTCGCTCTCTTGCTAAATAAAATCTTTAAAAATGAATAAAAAAATAAAAATTATTGAGGACCCCAAAGAGCATTTGGGTTATATCTGTCAATATTTATGGCATTGAAGATGGAAACAGACATTTTAAAAATGTATTTATAATTTATATTAAGATAGCAATAATAAACCCATAGTAAGTTAATATAAAAATGTGTTTTATGAAAATAACTTGTTTCCAAGGCAAAATAAATTTTATTGAGAAATGTGGCATTCTTTGACATTTTTGCAAATCTAATATCTGGCTTTTACTAGAGATGGTCTGGACCCTCACATGTGTGTCTGTACTCAGTGTTGGGGTATCATAGGCCAGGTCATCTCTAGAAACTTCATTGTACACTAGTGAGAGCAAAAACAAATAATGTCATTATTATTGTTATGTAAATAGTATTAACCTTGCAGACTCCTTGAAAGTGTATCAGGGACCACCCCCACCCCCCCAAATCTGCAAATCATAGGTTGAGAACTGGGATAGAGGATCCTGGAACAGAGTCAGGTATCTAAAGTGATGGCTTAAATGGTAGTAATCCAATTGTAGAAAGTGGGCTGAAAAAAGGTATTTAAAAACTACAGCAGTGACACATGGACACCTTCTGAAAAGTATGGGGCACTGAAATAGCTGACTTGGTAAGATGGAAGACTGGGTTATTAACATGTATGTGTTGTTTTTATTTTTGGTTCTCTTGTTACAGTATTATTTGAACAGGTTTAACCAAAAGCACAGGTCTGCAAGTCCAGTTGGGAAACCAGTGCTGCTCATGAGTAGGCAGGCCAGGTGTGAAGTCCCGGTGGGTCCAAAGACCCGCCAAGAGGGTCCTGGGCTTTGAGCAGCATAGAAATCGAAGGCAAGCCAGGAAAAAGCGAGAGCAGTAAACTGAATAGTGTAAGTGATACAATATAGCAGACAGAGAGTCTGGGAGACTCAGAGAAGGGAGTGTCTGTTAGGAGCTTATATTGGAAAGGGGTCCAGGGTGCATGTTCCTTAAGGAATCCAGGTAGGATCTAATCAAAGGCGACTGGTGTTATTCTATAAAACCCCAAAGGTCGGGGATATTGACACCAGTGAAAACCGAGGTTTGTTGGAAGCTAGTGTCCCGAAACATGCTCGGCCCACTTCTTCTCAGATGTTATCAGGCATATGGGGGCCTAGGAGGAAACTCAGAATGATGCACTTTCTTGCCTCCGTCTTGGAGTGGGAACAGAGCTTCTTTGGTTTACTCAGATGCAAGGTGAAATACAGAACATGAGTACATGGGGCCTACCAGAGAAACAGGAGAAATGGAGTCTTCCTAAAAGGCAGTCCCTTCAGCTTCCCTCTGTCACTAATAACTCTTATGCTGATTTTAAGCCACTTACAGCCTTGCAGTGTTTCTGCATTCTGTACAATAAAGCTTTGAGCAGGTTTGTGTATCTTTTAGACGCTTTCACTTATGCCGAACTCAACCCTGACCCTCATCCTGAGAAAGAGGCCAGTGAGTGTTGGTGGAGAGAGGGGTGATGGGTGGGCTGGAGGGTATACTGTGGGAAATCACTTGTAAAATAAATGAAATCGAACACTTGGGATAGGCATTTAAATTCCTCCAAACCAACTAAAGATGGGAAATGAGAAGGGGGGTGAGTGGGGTTAGGAGGAGGTGAGTCACGCGGGGGCCCTGGGCAGATGGCCCCCAAATGTGCTGGTTCTTTCCTAGTCCTCAGGTCTCCCCAAAACCATCACTTCCTCCAGGAGACCCTTCCTGACTTTGCCATCAAAAGTGGTCCCGAGATAGACCAGAGGCTGTGTTTTGAGCCCCCACCCCCGCCCTCACCACAAAGCCCGTGGCTCCCCGCGTGTCACCTTAGAAGAAAAGGCTGAGCAACCGTGTTGGTTTTTTTTTTTTTTTTTTTTTTTTTGAGCGGTATATGTCCTAGGAATGCGGAAGCGGGATGTTTGCCAGAAAGAAGTCGGCCGAAGAAACCGGCCTAAACCAGCCTGTGCCGCGGGGGACCCCAGCGCGGACCCTTCACCCACTCTCTCCTCGCGACGATCCTGACGCTCGCGGCCGGGGGCGGAGACTTGACATGCTAATGAGACACGCGGGGCAGGTAGGAGCCTGTGCCGCCCACTGCGCCTGCGCGCGGCTTCCCGGCTCGGCGCCCCTGCGAGCCGGGCGCCCCTTCTTTCCCGCCTCAGCCCCTCTGCAAAGCGCGGTCGCTCCGGGTGCGGCCGGGACTTCTGCTCCCGGTGGCAGCCCCCAATAAACGCTGCGTGCATCTTTCTTGGCCTCATGTCAGTGTCTGTTTGCGCTGAGAGCCAACGAGCCCTGGGGTCGGAACGTATTCCGGCCACCACGCAGGGACCCCAGGAGGGAGCCCCGGTGAGTCCCCGAGGAGCCGGAGCCGGCGGACGGCCGATGGAGCCCCTCCGACCCTCGGGACTGATGAGCGGCCTGGAGCTTTAGTTCGGCGTCTCGGCGGCGGTAAGTTCTGCCTCCGGCCTCGGCGACTCTGCCCCTCCTGCCAGGCCCCGCCGACGGCTTCGCTTCGTTTTGCCTCTCCGTCTTCACTTCGGCCTGAATTTCTCCGGCGGAAGGAGGTTTTCTGGTCCCGCGTTCCGGGGCCGAGTGTCCCCTGCCGCCAGACTCTCACCTCCCCGGTGTTGGTCCCCTGCAGGCTGGAGGACCCTCTGGTGGGTTGAGCCCGATCTGGGTGTCCCCTGTCCCCTGACTCTCACCTCCCCGGTGTTGGCCCCTGCAGGCTGGAGGAACCTCTGGTGGGTTGGGCCCGACCTGGGTGTCCCCTGTCCCCTGACTCTCACCTCCCCGGTGTTGGGGTCCCCTGCAGGGTCACTGGAGGACCCCCTGGTGAGTTGAGCCTGACCTGGGTGTTCCCTGTCCCCTGACTCTCACCTCCCTGGTGTTGGCCCCTGCAGGCTGGAGGACCTCTGGTGGGTTGGGCCCGACCTGGGTGTCCCCCTGTCCCCTGCAGGCTGGAGAAACCTCTGGTGGGTTGAGCCCGACCTGGGTGTCCCCTGCAGGCTGGAGGACCCTCTGGTGGGTTGAGCCCGACCAGGGTGTCCCCTGTCCCGTGACTCTCACCTCCCCAGTGTTGGTCCCCTGCAGGCTGGAGGACCCTCTGGTGGGTTGGGCCCGACCTGGGTGTCCCCTGTCCCCTGACTCTCACTTCCCCGGTGTTGGTCCCCTGCAGGCTGGAGAAACCTCTGGTGGGTTGGGCCCGACCCGGGTGTCCCCTGTCCCCTGACTCTCACCTCCCCGGTGTTGGTCCCCTGCAGGGTCCCTGGCGGACCCCCTGGTGGGTTGAGCCCCACCTGGGTGTCCCCTGCCCCCACACTCTCATCTTCGCGGTGTTGGTCCCCTGCAGGGTCACTGGAGGACCCTCTGGTGGGTTGAGCCTGACCTGGGTGTCCCCTGTCCCCTGACTCTCACCTCCCTGGTGTTGGTCCCCTGCAGGCTGGAGGACCCTCTGGTGGGTTGAGCCTGACCTGGGTGTCCCCTGTCCCCTGACTCTCACCTCCCTGGTGTTGGTCCCCTGCAGGGTCCTTGGAGGACCCTCTGGTGGGTTGAGCCCGACCTGGGTGTCCCCTGCCCCCACACTCTCATCTCCCTGGCACCACTGGATGGTCCCAGGTTTGAGCCCTCAAATATTGCTCTGAACACAAAACCAAGGAGATCCATCTGTGTGGGATACTCATATCTGGGTGAGGCAAAAAATGTCTCCCCCTTCATATAAAGTTAAAACCCAGTGCACGCTGTCCTTGGAAAAAACAGTATCCCATAAAAAGTAAATCTTTCAGAGGAATCCAGCCATTAATTTCAAAATTTCTCAAGTATGGACTGATCAAACCTTGTCAATCCCCATGTAATACCCCAATCCTCCCAGTGAGGAAGCCCAAAGGAGAATTTTGCTTTGCACAGGATTTGAGGGCTGTAAATAAAGGAGTTGCTCCCATACACCCAAGAGCACCCAACCGGTATGCTCTGCTTACCCAGGTTCCTGGCCATGCTCAGTTTTCCACTGTCCCGGGCCTGAAGGATGCCTTTTTCTGCATATTCCTTCATGAGGAAAGTCAATATTTACTTGTCTTTGAATGAAAAACCCCTGGTACTCAAGGGACTACTTAGTACACCTGGACTTTAGAGACCACCCCCATCTATTTGGAAATGTACCGGCAAGAGAGTTACAGGAATTAAAAGTGAGACATGGGATCCTCTTACAGTATGTTGATGATTGGTTAATAGCCAGTTTGACCAAGCAGGCCTCTGACCAGAATACTGTAAAAACTTTAAATTTTCTACTAAGAGAAGATATAGGGTTCCCCCATCAAAAGCCCACATATCAGAACAACAGGGCCAATATTTGGGCTTCATCCTGACACTGGGCCATGGATCCCAAGAGGACCATCAGCGCCTTGCCCATTCCCCAAATCAGAAGCCACAGACTCTGTGGCTTTCTGGGTATGGCAGAGCCCTGTTGCATCTGATTCCCTAATTAAGGCCTAATGGTGAAGCCCCTTATCGGCCTTGAGGGGGGGGAGGGGGACCCCTACAACAGACTGATGTCAGTGGGCCTTTTTAAAGCCTTGAAAACTGAGTTGGGTGGGGCCCCTGCACAATTTACCTCTATGTCCATGAGAGGCAGGGGATTGCTTTGAGGGTCCTAGCTCAAAAGCTGGGCCCTGATCAGAGACTGGTAGCCCTTTTTTCAAAATAACTGGATCCAGTTGCTGGCATAGCCCAGCTCTCTTAGTGAGTGAGGCCTCTAAGCGGACCCTGAGTCAACATGTAACTCCCCATCAGGTTCAGACAGTATTAGAAAGTAAAGGGCACCACTGGCTGACTGGAGGAAGGCTAACGAAGCATCAGGCCCTCTTGCTAGATTCCCGGATGTTATTTGAAAAGTATGCCAGACCAAACCCTGCTACCCTGCTCCCATCTGCAGAAGGTAAGGGTCTCCAGCATCAGGGTGTGGAGACAATGGAACAGACATATTCTACCAGACCTGACCTTCAAGACAAATGCCTTGACCATCCAGATAGGGTGTCGGTTAGGGACGGGAGAAGTTTTGCGGAGGAAGGTGTCTGGAAGGCAGGCTCCATGATAATGAGCCTAGGTAGAGTCTTAGAGGCTTGAGCTCTTCCACCTCAACGCTCTGCCCACCCAAAAGCCGGAACTGATAGCCCTAATTAAGGCCTCACAGTTGGGAGAAGGAAAAAGATGAAGTCTCTATACTGATTCAAAATATGGGTTCCCTGTACCATATGCCCCATGCTGCCGTCTGGAAAGAAAGGGGAATGTTAACAACTACGAATTCACCAATAAAACACTAGGACCCAATTTTCACCCTCCTAAAGACAGTGCAACTTCCCAGTCAGGTGGCTGTAGTCCATTGTGAAAGTTGTCAAAAAGATAGGACCTCTGTAAGCGAGGAAAGTAATAAGGCTGACCAATCAACTGTTTATTTATTTATTTTAAATATTTAATTAATTTGACAGAGAGAACAAGCATGGGGAGCCTCAGGGAGAGGGAGAAGCAGACTCCCCGCTGAGCAGGGAACCCGAGGCGGGCTTGATCCCAGGACCCTGGGATCATGACCTGAGCCAAAGGCAGACGTCGAAGGGACTGAGCCGTCCAGGCACCCCCAATCAGCTGTTTAAACAGGCCACCTGAGCTCAGGAGCCAGCTCAGATTACCACCATGAGTTCCCCGGCCAGCCACAGAACCCCCTGCTGGAACAGGAAGACGCAAAGAGACAGGGATATACAGAACAAAGCACGGGGTGGCTTATGAGATAGGACAAAATTCTCATTCCGGAAGCCCAGCAGTAAAAGCTCATTCAACATTTCCATGATGCCACCCATTATGGAAGAAACGTCCAATGGGACTTGGTGCAAAAGGTCTTTTCAGGATAGGGACTTAGACAATAAAACAAGTTACCCTCGCCTGTGACTTAACGCACCCAAAACAAACTACAGACCCATCCAATCAGTCCCCACTTCTTATACCAGTCCAACAGCAGGGGCCATATCCCAGGGAAGATGGGCAAGTAGTCTACCCTGCTGCACCACGAGCAGGCTACAAATACCACCTCGTGTTTGTCGATACTTTTACTGAGTGGGTACAAGCCTTCCCCACCGGTCTGGGAAGGCAACCGAGGTCTGTAAATCCCCTCTTAAAAGAGAATTCCCCGGTTCGGGGTCTCTAAGTCTCTCCAAAGTGAGAGACTCCTTTTACAGCTAAAATCACCCAGAGCCTTTCAGCAGCCCTGGGAATAAATTATAAATTGCATGCTCCCTGGCACCCCCATTCCTCAGGGAAGATTGAAAAGATGACTTATACCCTAAAAAAGACTTTAGCAAAACTTTGTCAAGAAACTCATGAGCCTTGGGTCCAGTTGCTTCCTATTACACTACTCAGGATTGCCACTGCCCCCAAGACTAACCTAAGATGCAGCCCGTTTGAAATGACATGGGAGGCGCCTCCTCACCCCCGGTATTTTACTAGATGGGAAAATAAGCCAGAGCTTGCATCATTTTATTTGGGACAGGTGCAAAAAACTGTTGTGGATTATGTTAATCACATGCTACCAGCACCCCCTAGAGGTAATTTAGAAGAGACTCCCCTGCCCCCGCCCCACCACCTCTGCAAATTAATCCAGGGGATCAGGTCCTCCTTAAAACCTCCTTAGAAGGAGGGCTCCCTGGAAGATCAGTTGCTACCCAAGTGGAAAGGCCCCTATTGAGTGATTTTAGCCACCCCAACAGCAGTTAAGCTCCAGGGAATCCCTAGCCGGCTACATCTTTTCAGGCTAAAACCTTTTTCTCCTGGACATCCTCAGAAATACCTGGAAGGCCCAGAACCATCTTACTCATGTGAGCCTGTGGAAGACCTCAAATACTTGTTCAAGAAGCAACCCTCAGAGTCAGATAAGTGATTATACCTTGGTGGTTTGGCTTGCTGACTTTGCTTTTTGTTGCATTTGTTTTACTTTTTCTTCTCTGTGAGTACTGTTTCGGGTCACCTCCACTCCCTGGGAAAGACCCGTTCTGCCCCTGCGGGGTCTAGAAGGTCAAAACCAATGATGGGACTGATGAAGTGGATCCTTCTCTTGGCCCTTCTCCTGGGGATGAGTTGGGAAGAAAATAACAAAGGAGGGGGAACCTGGAGAGAAAACTCAATTGTCAACTTTTCTAGCATTGTGGCCTCAGGAAATAATCTCTCTAATTGTTGGATTTGTCATCCTCACCCACAAGATGGGGTTCCTAAGCTCCAGTTTGTACCTATAAATGAGAATATTACTCTCACCTTGACTTCTGGTCCTGTTAGAAGCACAGCCCTTCTAGTAGTAGAACTTGATGATCGTGATGATATGAGGTGTGTCAGACTTACAGACTTTTGGAACCAAACTGGTCTCCAAGTTAAGCGGCCTCTTCTCTGTCAAGAACAAGGACAGCCCTGTTGCCCCTGCCGGACAGATACCTGCCTTACCAACATGGGAAGCTCGCCCTCCATTTATCCTATGTCATTTTCCTCTTCAAGCTCTTCATGTAGCCCCAACCAGACCCACTGGTGTGTGGACTCGTCTCTGCTCTCCCCAGGCGACCAACCTAACTTATCCTGTACATACTGGAAAGGAACAGCAACCCCTTCCTGGAGACTGACCTATCAGACCCCATCTGCCTTCGATAGCCAGGAGGGAATAGAAGAGGATTCAGAGCTTGGTGGGGGGCCACTGGACGGAGGGCCCCTGTCCCCCAGATGCAAGAGTACACCTAACTGGGGTCCCCTTTTACGAAGTTGGTTTAATTCCTCTTCACCCCGCCAAGCTTGTACCCCACCTGGGTATCTCTTTCTCTGCGGTCCACCACAAAATAAACTACCCTACGAAGGGAGCCCCAATTCCTCCTTCTCCTGGCCTCTTCGGGCGGTGGCCTATTCATGTGTAGATAATGTTCACTTCCGGGGAGAATGCACTCTGGGACGATTGGGTCCTAAAGGATTAGGTGCCACTATATATAACGTCACCTCTCAAACCAGACGAAAGAGAGCACTCGGGCTCATCTTGGCAACAACTGGAGAAGCCGTAGGACTGGCTGCCCCCTGGGGGGGCTTTGCTTATCATGAAACAACCTTAAAAAACCTTACCCAGGTCATAGAAAATCTGGCCACAAACACTGGTGACAGCTTCGAGGGCCTCCAGGAGTGCCCGGATTCCTTGGCTAATGTCGTACTTGACAATCGCTTAGCTCTAGATTATCTTCTGGCCAAACAAGGGGGTGTCTGTGCAGTGGTCAACAACACTTGCTGTACATACATCAACAACTCTGGGGAAGTGGAGCTAAATATTCAGGAGCCTTACCGACGAACCAGATGGTTGCGTGGGTTCAATAATCACAATGCCCAAACTCTGGGACGCAAGTAGAGGCTCTGTGCCTAGCGTTGTGTGATTCCTCCCTTCCTGGGCCCTCTTGTGGCCATCATTCCTTTGTTAATATCCAGACCCTGCCTCTTTAATCTTGGTTAAGTTTGTGTCAAACTGCTGGTGGCACAAGGGTCCCACCTACCGGGTCCCAAGAGGAACAAGGTCCCTATAGGGCGTTAGAGCAGTCCGCGAGAGATTTTACTCCTCCAGGGTAGGACAGGGACAACGCCCCGCTCAGCAGGAAGCAGTTTCAGAAGATGAGACCCTCGGCCCCTCCTCCTTCGGAGTAAGGAGGGTAACATCTCTCAGGGGGGCTGAGCTGGAACAGAGGCTGTGTCTGGGACCCCGCCCCCCCCCCCCCCCCCCCCCGGCTCCAGCCCACAAAGCCCGTTGCTCTGTGCCCATCGCCTTAGAAGAGGCTGAACCACACGTTTCTGAGCCGTATATCGCAGTCGATCTCGGGGATGCGGAAGCGGGATGTTTGCCGGAAGGACCTCGGCAGGAGAAACCGGACCAAACCAGCCTGTGCCGCGGGGCACCCCAGCGCTGACCCTTCACCCACTCTCCTGACGGCGGCGGCCGGGGGCGGAGACTTGGCATGCTAATGAGTCACGTGCTGCCTGCGGCCGCGTGTTGTCCACTGCGCCTGCGCGCAGCGTCCCGTGTCGCCGCCCCCGCCCCGTCCCAGCTAGGAGGTCCCTGCTTTCCCGCCTCAGCCCCTTCAAACTTTCCGGGCCTTTGTTCCCGGCGCTGCCTGCCTGGTACCGGAGCATAAGCCCCCAATAAACACTGCCTCAACCTTTCCTTGCCTCGCGTCAATGTCTGTTTTTGCTGAGAGCCAAAGAGCCCTGGGGTCGAGAACAGTCCCCCCGGTCCTCTTTCTTGGATCTCTCCAGTCCCCAGTCTCTGGTGATGTGGGTGCCTTTTTACTGAGTACAGGGAGGGTATTTTTCATATGGGAGATTTGCTTCCTACTTTTAGTGGAACGGAGGAGGGTGTGAGTGTCCTTGAACTCGCGGTTTTGTAAGTAACTTAATTAAGATAATCAGTATGACAGAGGGGCACGTCGTGGGGGCCCCCTGCCCTTTCTCCCTAGATCATTGTAGGGGAAGCCAAACTTTACCCCTCTCCATCTTGGGTGTTCAGCTAGGACTCTAACAAAAAGATTAACAAGAGAAAAACAGTTAATGCAAGCAGTGCACATGAAAAGTAAGTCTGAATGGCAGCTTAGAATTCCAACTTATTTACCGTCTTCAATAAAGTACGATAAATTTGCAGAGAGATGACAGGACAAAGGAAAACAAATTTAGGCCCCAAGGGAAGGTAAACGGGAGGGAAGTTATGGAGAAGTCTGTAGATTCTTCTGGTTCCTCTCTGGACTGGTAAATGTCAGTCCTCCAGTAAAAGAATTTATATCCAGCCTTTAGGCAAAAAGGGGGGAAGGTAAAGAGCTCTTCCTGTGTTGGCTGCTTTTCTTTTTTCTTTCTTTCTTTTTAAGGTTTTATTTATTTTTGAGAGAGAGCACGAGTGGGGAGGAGTAGAGGGGAGCAAGGAGACTGATGTGCGACTCGGTCCTAGGACTGTGGGATCATGACCTGAGCCAAAGGCAGACACTTAACCAACTAAGCCACCCAGGTGCCTTTTTTTTTCATCTAACTTGAAAAGCTTTAATTTACACAAATAACTACTAAATACAAAAAGTAGATTAAAACAATTTTTTTTTTCTGGCAGAGTTTAAATGCACATAATGGATAATTCCAAAGAACATGCATTTCCCCTACAGCATTCAGAACTAAAATTCTACTTAAGTCTTTGCCTCTAACTGCTTTGGCTGCTTCTAAATTACCTTCAGCTCAAAATAATTTCTATGACAAAGCGGCGTATTTGGGGTGGCCTGTTCTGCTACCTTTCATCATCAAAATTTCTGTTTTTGTTTTTGTTTTTTTTCGTCTCCCTTACATGCTCAGTGGTCATCACATGTCTGAGGCTTCTCATTTGGACAGCATTTTTATTTTGGAAATGAAATGGGGTGGGGGGCACACAGGGAAGAAGGATGAGTTTGATTCCTGTTACACTACGTCAGGCTGCTTGTCAGGTGTTTGTGCCTTTAATAAGCATTTAAACCTTAGACGTGCTTGGATTCCATGCCTTGTAAGATGACTTCCAGTCAAAAGTCATCCCAATCCAGAATCTAGAAATAGGATTCCAAGTTGTTCAAAATTGGAAGGGGTTCAGGGTGCCTGGCTGGCTCAGTTGGAGGAGCATACGACTCTTGATCTTGAGGTTGAGTTCTGGCCCCACATTGGGTGTAGCGATTACATAAATAAATAACCTTTTTAGGGATTCTCAAGGTTATAAAACCCCGAACACCTTGAGATCAGAAGAAGAATGTGGTCTCTGACTGAGAAAGCAAAAAGCAGGTATGATGGCGGCTGTCACTGTCAGACAAGCCCATTCCGCAATTGTGATGGAGTCAAAACATGTCTCCTGTGTAACCAGGTCGAAGCGCAAAGACACAAGAGCACATGCAAACCACAAAAATGACCACACATCCCTATCTCAGCTAGCTGCTGCTTTACCAATTAGAGTTTTAACCTGCTCTGTTCTACTTCCTAATAAAAAGTAGAATATCCGATCACACAACAGTGGCCTGGTTTCCAACAGCATTCATCCAGAGCAACCTTTCCTTCTTAGACCCTCTCCCAAACCCCCAACACAAACTGAAATCCTATAAACTACTCCCACACCCTCTCACTGAGACACCCCACCTCCCAGCCTCCCCACGGTGTATGGGATCCACGCTGCTGTCACAGGTACCATCAAATTGGGTTCGGCCACCGGTGGGCTTTGGCTGGTGGGGTCCAGCGTGACCACGAGCAAGTCAGAACCCTATCAGCCTCCCAGCCCTCATTCCCATCCATCCCAAACTTGGCTCCAGACTCTCAGTTAAATTCCCCAGATACAGCAACATCTCTTAGCATCTAGAGCCAAAAGGAACTTCCTGCACATTTCTAAGAACTGAAACAAAATGCATTCCTGTTCGTGATTTATTGATAGGTTTTCGGTAATCAGGTATTCACAGAAGGGAACACTCACTCCATTGTGTGATTCATAAGCACATTCCATCCTCCTTCCCATGTCTTAACTCAAATCTTAATTGCTTTAGTTCTGTTTATTTTCCAAAGAAACTCCTAAAAGAGCTTGGAGAATTCTGGGGTTCTCCCACATTTTTCTTTAAACAAGGCTTTGCATCTGTTATAAAACCTCTCTGTTACTGCAAAATGGAAAAACCACAATTGTATGCACGTCGGTGGCTCTTCATTCCTCTGGGACTCTGAGCTCCTACTTACTATGGATTCGAAGGCTCAGGATACACGAAAATGAAAAATACAACAATTTAGCGATGAGGGCAGAGAGAAGAGAGATAGTGTAAATTGCATCAACTTGCTCCTTAGGAGACATATAGGCCTCTTGGAAGGTGACCGTAAGATTAGTGAACTCCTTTCTCTTTCCCTGAGTAACCTGAAGGCACACTCATCTGAAGCTGATAATTAGGAAATAAGTTGGGGGGGCGGGTGCAGGCAGGATGGGTAGGGGCTGAGGGCTGGGAGGGGAGGCCAGTGAGGAGGCTGGAAAAGGTCTTCTCAGGAGGGTAATTGACAATTCTTAGCATGGTGTCTCTTTCCTTTGGAGAAAAAAGGGATGCCTTTGGAATCTCTCACATTCACTGGCTCTGTCCCTCCCTTACCTTCCCCTCCCCTCCCTTCCCCCTCCTCTTATCTCTTCTCAGTTTCCCTCTGTGTGTGTGTATCTGTGTGTATCTGTCTGTCTGTCTCTCTCTCTCTCAGTAATCACCTGCATACACTTTCTGTGATACTCACCCTGGAAGATCCTCAGCCAAAGTGGGGCTAAACTCTGTATTTTCATGTTTGTATAGCCTCCCCCCCCAGACGGTGAATGCAGGTAGCCCTGCTTTGGAGGGTTTGCCTACCAGGTAGCAGGGAAAGAGGCTGCACGGGGTAGATTCTGGAAAGAACTCAAAGAGTGGTCCACGCGACCCTGACCCCTTCCCAGGATCCTCCTATTTCCCCCTGTTCAGTCCAACCTCACTTGGTTGGCTCCCGTAAGTTCCCTGTCTGCCCTTCCTCTGTGTTTCCTGGAACTCTCCATTTCAAAAGCATTTCCAGGAATATGACTCAGAGATGTCCCCACTCAACCAGACCCCAGCATCTTCTTGCTCCCCAGGGCACACTTCATCTCCCTCCACCTCCGTGAGCCCCTCTAATACACAGAAATCCACCCGTGTCTTCTCCAGGCCTCCTCACTTCCTTTCTAGCCACCCTTCCCTCATGCAAACCCTGGTGTGGCAACTCACCTAAACTGAACACAGGCTTGGTAAATAGGGGAATGGTGTCACTGTTATTTTTTATTTTTTTTTAAAGATTTTATTTATTTATTTGAGACAGAGAGAATGAGAGACAGAGAGCATGAGAGGGAGGAGGGTCAGAGGGAGAAGCAGACTCCCTGCCGAGCAGGGAGCCCGATGCGGGACTCGATGCGGGACTCGATGCGGGACTCGATGCGGGACTCGATCCGGGGGACTCGATGCGGGACTCGATGCGGGACTCGATCCGGGGGACTCGATGCGGGGGACTCGATCCGGGGGACTCGATCCGGGGGACTCCAGGATCATGACTTGAGCCGAAGGCAGTCGCTTAACCAACTGAGCCACCCAGGTGCCCCTGGTGTCACTGTTACAATGCGGACCTATCACTAGGTCACTTCTGATGATTATCAGCATGCCAACAGTGTGTGCCCTAAGAAAGAGCAGCTGACCGCAAAGCTCCCTCGCAAGCCACTGCTTTCAGTGCTACACCCGATGCCCATTTGCCCTCATCCTTTGTCCTAGACTGGTTTAGCAAAAGAAACGAGCCCGAGACCCTGAGCCAGAGCCATCCCTCAGGGGCATGTCCACAACTCACGGAAAGCTCGCAGCTGCCTCCTCACCTGCGGCTTCTGAAGAAGGATCGAGGTAAAGCCCCTGCCGACCAGCAGCCCGTGGGAAACTCTGATCCTGCTCCAGGCCTCCGAAACAGAATCTGTTATTTAGAAAACCCTCCAGGGAAGCATAGGCTCGGGTAAGTTAAAGAAGCGCTGCTCTGGGAGGGCCAGGGGCGGGGAGGGATGTCCTAGCGCTGATAAATCATCAGATAGGTTTCACGGTGGAAACGGTACTCAGAGGCTGTTGGACAGGTGGGAAAAATGTGTGATGAGAACACAGAAAAGTAAGCAAAGGAACTAAGAGGAACCATTTAACGCCTTCCCTCGTCCATCTCCAAAAAGCACAAGAAGTTGTACAGGAAAGGAAAGGAAATCAGATGCGATACTTGGATCCGTGAAATCACAGCTACATAACAAATAGTGTTGGAAACACTGAACGGAAGGGATATATTTCTATTGTATTAATTAGTCAGGGTTCTCCAGAGAAACAGAACCAAATCTGCATTTGGGAAGAGCCGTTCTGGCAGTCTGGAGAGTCCGTTGGAGCCCTGATCTTTTGTTGGTCTTACAGTCTCAATTAAAAGGCACACTGGGGTGGTGAAGGATTTGGGCCACAAGTGTAATACAGGGTTGACATCTTTGATTTATAAAAAAAAACCAGATTGATAAGAAACAGCAGAATCTGTCTGGGGGAAAATGGGCAATTCGCCTGAAAAGATCACTTCCAGAATATGTTAAATGGTTAATATGAAAAATGATCAGCCTCACTGCCATATAAATGACTAGCAAAATAATAATTTCATCTATTTCACCCATCCCATTAGAGATGATGGGGAGTCATAGCCCTCAGTGTTGGCAGGAATTAGATGAGAAAGACATTTCCATTAATGGTGTGATAGGTTTAACAGCTCAGGAGGGAACTTTGGCAATAAGCTCATAATTCAACTTACAGACCTGATGACTATATTTCTGGGAATTTATTAGAAAGTTTGTCAGGAAGTTATCAAAGATGTGGACAAAGACTTATGTATAAAGTGCACTAGTTATAGTAGGCAAAACAAAAAACAAAAAACCCATCCAAAAACCTACTAAGAGGGGCACCTGGGTGGCTCAGATGGTTAGGCTTCTGCCTTTGGCTTGGGTCGGGGTCCCAAGGTCCTGGGATCGAGCCCCACATTGGGCTCCCTGCTCGGCGGGGAGACTGCTTCTGCCTCTCCCCCTGCTCGTGCTCTCTCTGTATCTCTCTGTCTCAAATGAATAAATAAAATCTGAAGAAAAAAAAACAAAACAAACCCCACTAAGATATCCCACCCTCTCGGGAATTATAGGAACCCACGATATGATATTATGTAAGCATAAGCAATGTTTCAAATTATGCAAAAGCTTCATCAATTCTGCCAAAATGTGAATAGAGGCTATCATTAGTTGGTGACATTATGAGTGATGTCTACTTTTTTAAAAAATGTTTTTCCAGAGGTGGCTGGCTGGTTCAGTGGAGCATACAAGTCTTGATCTTAGGCTTTTAAGTTTGAGCACTGCATTGGGTGTAGAGGATACTTATTTTTGTTAATTTTATTTATTTATTTGACAGAAAGAGATAGCGAGAGGAGGAACACAGCAGGGGGTGTTGGAGAGGGAGAAGCAGGCTTCCTGTTGAGCCAGGAGCCCAGTGCAGGACTCGCTCACAGAACCCTGGGATCATGACCTGAGCCAGAAGGCAGAGACTTAACAACTGAGCCACCCAGGTGCCACCCTGAGGGTACTTAAAAATAAAGTCTTAAAGGGGTGCCTGGGTGGCTCAGCCAGTTGAGCATTAGACTCTTGATTTTGGCTCAGGTCATGATCTCAGGGTCTCGAGATGGAACCCTGTGGTGGGGCTTCTGCTTAACTTTCTTTCTCTTCCTCTGCCCAACCCCCAGCTCACATTCTATCTCTCTCTCAAAAATAATAATAAAAATAAATAAAATCTTTAAAAAATAAACAAGTTTTTCCATATTTTAAAATTTTTTCATAACAATAAGAAGTTTAGCCCAAAATAAGGAAATGCGGGCTGAATTGCTTGCAGGGAGGTAACTTCTTGGAGGCCTTGAAAACGGAATCACACACATGCATTCCCAGCCTACCTTTAAATTTTCAACCCACATAAACAACAATAGGATAACAATTTACCCTCTTCTAAATCCCTATGGTATGCGAAGCACTTTACTTGCTTAATCTCATTTAATGCAGCGCCTCTCCAAAGAAAGTATTATTAACAGTATTCCTAATTTAGAGGTAAAAGAAGTGAGGCTTGAAGAGGTGAATGACTGGCTTAAGGCTTTACAATCTCATTTTAGTGTTGTCTTGACCCTCTTCCTTTTTCACCTGATTGCCTTTTATTTAGTGCAGCTCATCAGTGTATATCCTGGTCTTTGAGCTGAAGACCACAAATGCACAGACCCTTCATCTCTCTGGAAAACTCCCCCCCCCCCCAAAGGAAATGCATCTGGGGCCTGGGGGCAGGCTTTGCTGGGAGCACTTCCCCCTTCCCTCTTCCTCTGGTCTTTAACTTTTGCCCTTGGGGCCAGGAGCAGCTCTGTCACTGGGTAGCTGGACTCCTTGGTGCCTCTTCCTCCAGGATCAGAGGTCAGTGCCTGCAAGGGCTCTCATTCCCCTGAGAGAGCCAGCAGTCAGGAGGGCATTTGCTCTCCCTCCGGCTCCTTCCTCCCCAGTCCTGGGCTCTCTACCCTGCACCCTTTGCTCTCTCCAGCTCCCCTTTCTTGTGCCTTCTCCTCTCGACTTTCCTCTTTTCTCCTCCAGTTCAATCCCCTAGTTCCTGTCTTTGTCTCCATTGCTTCGCCTTTATTGTCACTGGGAAAGCGAGTTCCCAGTTACTATATTTGGGGGGAAAAGAGGCTTTTTATAGAGCAGTGGTCCCAAGACTTGTTCATTGACACGCAACCCATTAATGGGTACTACGTCTCACAATTCCCTTCTCCTACGAGTCTCCTGGGGTTTGAGGGCCTATTTGGGGGCTGTACCCAGGCTTGACCAGACCGGGCGGTGGGTGCGCGCGTGCCAACGGCTGGACCGACCGAGAGTCCGCAGTGGGAGCAGGCGGGAGGGGGGGGCTTCGGGTGCAAAGGTTGGAAAGAGCGGCAGGGAGGACGCCGCAGAAGGGGGTCTGAAGAAACTTCGTGACCTCCTGTGCACTCACGTCCTAGGCGGGAGTTCGGGCGACCGGACGCCCCCGGCGCCTGCTGCCCCGGGAAGGCTGGAGATGGCGGTTTCCCCGAGCTCGGGCCTGCCCAGGGGTCTGCTCATCCTCACGTTCTTCCAGCTGTGCCAGCCGGATTCGGGTAGGCGCCGCCTGGGTCTCCCTCCCTGGCCCCCTCAGCCGCACCCGCGGCCGGAACGGCGCAGGAGAGGCCTCGCTAGCGCCCTCCGCGGGGTCCCCGAGGCGCAGGAGCTCCGGTCGCGGGGACTGAGCCTGGTCGCTGTCGGCGCTCAGCCGCCCCCTCCGCACCCTGTCCGCCCGCCTGGTTTTCGCAGCCCACTTCGACGTGATCGGGCCGGCGGAGCCCATCGTGGCCGCGGTGGGTGACGACGTCGAGCTGCCCTGCCACCTGTCGCCGAACGTGAGCGCCGAGCGCATGGAGCTGCGCTGGGTCCGCGGGAAGGTGGCGGCAGTGCTGGTGCGGCGGGACGGGCGCGAGCAGGCGGCCGAGCAGGCGGCCGAGTACCGCGGCAGAGCCACGCTCGTGGCCCGCGACATCGCGGCGGGGCGCGTGGCCGTGAGGATCCACCGGGTCAGGGCCTCGGACGACGGCGAGTACCGCTGCTTCTTCCGGCAGGACGGAAGCTACGAGGAGGCCGGCGTGCACCTGAAGGTGGCCGGTGAGTGCGCGCGGTTGGGCTTTGTCCGGCGACTTCCAGGCGGTGCACATTTGCCTGTGGCCCCGTGACTGTGGAAGCCACCCGATTCTTTGCCCAAATCCCTCCCGGGATGGAAGAGGCTGGCAGGCCTAGAGTGGGAGGTGACCCGGCGGGGCGTTTGAGAGTGGGGACAGAGCATTTCCCCACGTCATGAGTTACATAAATGGAAGATGCAATGGCTATATAACATTCTTCGCCGTGAGTACCTCGTAATACACTAATACACTTGCTCCAGGCTCAGAATTGAACATTTAAGTCGTGTCTACCTTTCACCGCTAGGGTGAGGCTGTGCTGCGCATCCTTTGAAGCTGCTTTATGGATTAGAACCTAAGGGCGGATTAAAAAAAAAAAAAAAAAAAAAGAACCTAAGGGCGGATTTCCTAAGGTCCTAGAGCGTGGCTGCTCCTTCACATTCTTGATCCACCGAGAAAAGTGTGGGTTTTTGTTTCCTTTCTGGCTTCAAGCCCACATTCAGGGCGGAAACCATAATGGAAATGGTAAGCATTCAGGAGGAGAGTGAGCATTGTGCTCTGACTTTCCCACTTACTAGTGAATGGAAGCAAACAAATCTCTTTCTGAGCCTTATTTCCTACTGAAAAAATGGGCATGCACCTATCAAATGAGATTTTGCAAGAATGAAATAAAATTACACGATTCCTAAGAAACTGCCTTGTCAATGTTTGCAGAAGCATTGCATACGTGTAAGATATTATTACTGTGCCTCAGACTGCAGGTCGGTGGCTCTGCAGCATATAAATGTATTGCCTTTTATGTATATATTAAAGGTAAAGTTAAAAAATACTGGGGTGTAATTTGGGTCCCTGCCTCAGAACAGGGTGTCCCATGTGGCAGCATTATGTATAACTCACATTTCCTTTTTAGGTAATTATCTTAAAAGTTGACAATAAAACCCTAGAGATGTGATAGCATAGAACTGTCATTGTTACCTCTTATGAGTGATAGATACATTTGAGATTCTGCTGAAAGTGGCAGCCCTTTCCATGAAAAGAATCCACACTGTCACATAGACACACATACTGGGACATGGATTTCGACTAACAGTGTGGACACGTGTTTGAGGAGCCTTCTCTGCAGCTTGGTGTTTGTCTATACTCTGTAGAATTGTGAGAATAATCAGGCTGAAGACAGAAGGGAAAAACAGCTTTATGTTGATATATGTTAGGACATAACTGTGTTGGGGGGAAGACGAGGTTGAAACCCATTTAAGAAAATTCCTGAATCAGTATCACAGGTAAAGGAAGCTTAGATTGACAGCTACAAGCTCAATGCAAAGAAGCCGCAATCCCCCTTCTCTTCAGGTACTCCTCTCGGATCATCCTCAAATACCCACTCCCAGTTCTCCTTCTCTTCAAAGTCTTTTGGTAATACTTCAGACCGCAAAGCCCTCTCCCCTCTCTGGAGCTCCCTTACCTGCCTTTTTTAGCCATTGGTCTCCCTGTTCCTGCTGATTAGAAAAGCTCCCTATGTCTGTCCATCAAACTCCTGCCCTCACTTCAAACCCTAACTCCCAATATGGCATCCCTCTCTGATAAGGTTATGAAATTCCTTTTATTGATACCACAGCTTCCTTGTGTCATGAAATAGGAGATGAGTCCCTCTCACTCCCAGTCCCTGTGCGCTTCTTTTTCTCAAACTGTGTAACCCTGTGGTTATAAGGCTCCCAGAAGGTTGTCCACTGAAAAAGTAAGGCCAGCCTCTCTCTCCATAGCTCTGGGCTCTGATCCTCACATCCATATGGAAGTTCGAGAAAATGGAGAGGTCTGGCTGGAGTGTACCTCGGTAGGATGGTACCCAGAGCCCCAGATACAGTGGAGGACTTCTGAGGGAGAGAAGTTTCCATCCACGTCAGAGTCTAGGAATCCTGATGAAGAAGGCCTGTTCACTGTGGCAGCTTCAGTGATCATCAGAGACCCCTTCATGAAGAATATATCCTGCTGTATCCGGAACCTCCTTCTTGGCCAGCAGAAGGAAGTAGACATCTCCATACCAGGTCAGTGAAATCAGCGCTGGGTTCCTATCGGACACAGTTTCAGGGCCATATTACCTGGGACACCTGCCCAAGGTAGGCCCTCATGGTGCACCTGTCCACTGTTCCCACCTAAGCTCCTGACCACTGACATGAAGGAGCCCCACCAATTTCATTAGAAGAGAAAAGATTCCAAATGCATAAAATCTGCCTTGATCTCATAGAAATACCAGATTTTCCATTTTAGGAGATATATCTTAGATACAGAGGCTTTGCCTCTGGGGCTTTGTCTCCTTGAATAATAAGAAAACCCATTTCTACCCTTGCCCCTCTGTCTTCCCCGTCCTATGCTAGAGCTCTGTCTAGGTTTCCAGGGTCCTCAGGAAAGCAAATCTCATTATTCCCTCCAGACTACCTCTGGTTCAGGCAGGAACCTTTCCTTATTCTTTGGTCATTGAGTCCCATCCTGTAGCACACAGAGGTGACATTTTCCCTTCTTGATTTACTTCCTTCATCCCTTTGGCTTCCATCCTGCATTGATAGTTAAGAAAGAATTTCCACAATAACATGAATTGACCCATTACTTTCTTCCCTTCCCAGGTCCTGTCCCGAAATGACTCTTCTTTTCTTCTTGCCCATAATCAAAACTTTACTGAAAAACTGATACCAAAATAGATCATTGTTGTATCCCTTACAAAATTAAACATAATTACATTATCTTGGTACACTAACTGGAATTACTGAACCGATAAGGCTTTCTGCAATGTAACAGAAATTCAAGAGGTTGTGGGGACCATTAGTGTTGCTTTCTCCTAAATGAACACCCTTCTGTGAGTCTGGCCTTTCTCCTGTTGGCTGGGACGGCACTGTTGAGCACCCTCTACAAAGGACCACTGTCTGAGCACGGCTGAAATCCAGGGTAATCTTGTAGCAACCTTGACATTTTCCATCCATAAAAAGGGAATTTGGGCTTTGAACTACCCATTTCTTTCTTTCTTTCTTTTCTTTTCTTTTCTTTTTTTTTTTTTTTTAAGATTTTATGTATTTATTTGACAGAGAGCACACAAGCAGGGGGAGGACAGAAGGAGAGGGAGAAGCAGACTCCCTGCTGAGCAGAGAGCCCAATCCCAGGATCCTGGGATCATGACCTGACCTGAAGGCAGACGCTTAACCAGTTGAGCCCCCCCAGGCGCCCCCTAGCCATTTCTTTTTATGTTTTTTTTCTTTTCCCCTTCCAAGGGCAGGTGTAGTAAATCTCCAGCCAAGGGCATGTTGATCCTTCTGCAAGCCCAGCCAGTCCCCATCTCTAAGGTGACACTGTCAGGCCTGAAATGACTCCTGTTCATCTTCATTCCTCTCTTTCTCTGCCCTCTCCCATCTAAGATCAAAATTTTTCTGAAAAGCCTGGAGCAGCAACATTGGAAGGTCTATTTTTTGCCCTGGGAGGAGTGGGAGAGGGCCAGGTCATCCTCTCTTCCAACCCCCTTCGGAATCAAGTAGAGCTGGCCTTGCTCAGAGTCACACAACAACTCGTCCTTCTTGGGGATTTTGTTTCAGCTTCCTTCTTCCCAAAGTTGACTCCCTGGATGGTGGCGGTGGCTGTCATCTTGATGGTCCTAGGAGTTCTCACAATTGGGTCCATAGTTTGCACTTGGAAACTCTACAAGGAAAGATCCAGACAGAGAAAGGATGAATTCAGCTCTAAGGGTAAGTCATAGGCTGCTTGTCGGGCGTGCTTCCGAGTGGGATTGGATCCAAGTCCTTTGGGACGGCTGCCAATGGGAAGATATTTGATTCTAGAATTTTGAGAGTCAAGAAGGGGGATTATAAAGCACACTGATACCCAATATGAAGGTCTGGGGCGAAGGAGTCAAAACCAGTGCTAATTGAGATATCAGACCAGCTATTCACTCACTACCCTCCCTCAGACTCTCTCCTTCTAACTTGGTTTCCCAGGAAAGATTAACGATCTGATCCCAAGCCAGTAGGAACTTCCTGCACATTTCTTAGAAAAACAAAACAAAACGAAACATAATCCTTGTTCCTCATTTGTTGATAGAGTTTCAGTAATCAGGTAATCATGAATTAACCCTGCACTCCTTTGTGTGTTCCTCACACTAGCTTTCTCCCCTCCCTCATGTCCACTCTAGAAGGTCATTAAGGTATTTCTGTTTCTTTTCTAGAGAAACTCCTGGAAGAACTCAGTAAGTTCTCTCTTCTTGTCATTATTTCACCAACAAGGTGTTCTCTCTCCTTATTAGAAAGCCTGTCACTGACTCTCTCTCTCTTTCATTGCAGAGTGGAAAAAGGCGACAGTGCATGCAGGTCGGTGGCTCTGAACGTCTCAGACTTTTCAGGGGCTCTGAGGCTCTATGCCCCAGGGATTCAAAGTCCTGTCATACTTGGAAATAAACACACTAACCCAGTTTTGCGGGGGGATAGATAGGGGAAAGATGATGGCAAACGGCCTTCACATTTTCCTTGAGGCACATAGAAGGCCCTTGGAAGATGTTTACAAGACAAGCCCCTCTGACAGAGACCCGTGACTGTTGACGGGTCACAGGAGGGGGCCAAACAGCTCCCCTCCTGTGGGGACCTGCCAACTTCTAAAACAGTGCTCTATTTTTTTTTTTTTTTTTTTGAGAAGAAAGAATAGGTCTTGTGACCCCTAATGCTCACTGATGCTCAGACTTGCTCTCTCTCTGTCTCTAGTTGATGTGACTCTGGATCCAGACACCGCCCACCCCCACCTCTTTTTGTATGAGGATTCCAAATCTGTCCGACTGGAAGATTCACGTCAGGAACTGCCTGAGAAACCAGAGAGATTTGACTTCTGGCCTTGCGTGTTGGGTCGTGAGACCTTCACAGCAGGGCGACATTTCTGGGAGGTGGAGGTAGGAGACAGGGCTGACTGGGTGGTCGGGGTGTGCAGGGAGAATGTGGTGAAGAAAGGGTTTGACCCCATGACTCCTGAGAATGGGTTCTGGGCTGTGGAGTTGTATGGGAATGGGTACTGGGCCCTCACCCCACTGCGGACCCCTCTCCCCTTAGCAGGACCGCCCCGTCGGGTTGGGATTTTCCTGGACTACGAATCAGGAGAGGTCTCCTTCTACAATATGACTGATGGGTCCCATATCTATACTTTCTCCAACACCTCCTTCTCTGGCCCCCTCCGGCCTTTCTTCTGCCTGTGGTCCTGTGGTAAAAAGCCCCTGGCCATCTGCCCAGTCACCGACGGGCCTGAGAGAGTCACAGTTGTTGCTGATGCCAAGGACTTCACTAAGGAGATCCCACTGTCCCCCATGGGGGAGGACTCTGCCTCTGGGGATACGGATACCCTTCATTCTAAGCTAATCCCTACCCAGCCCAGCCAAAGGGCACCTTAAGGAATGTCCCAGCCCAGCTGCTTTCCTTTGTCCTAAGCCCTCCCCTCCATCCCCTCTGACATACCAGCGGCCAGGTCCACCCAGCCCCTGTTTCCCCCTGTTGGGAACGAATCAGTTGGTCTTGGGGAGGTGGGGTGCGGGGCCTTCCTCATCGGCTTCTGTGCTGATCCTCAGGGGGCAGGAGTTCACGCTGAAGCTGCTTCCAGCAGTCTCCTATCCCTGGAGGCCAAATCCTATAGGGAGGGGCAGCTCAGTGATCAAGATGGGGTTAGGTTGGCATGGGGTTATGACAGAAACATCTGGGTGTCCAGGATAGGGATGTGTCGAGGAACAGGTTTTAGGCAAGCAGGAAACCCAAAAGATTCTGGGAAGAGAAGATTCAAGGCTGAAATTCCATAAAGGAACTGGGGGGGACATCATGAGGGGAACCCAGGCCAATGATGAACACCTAGCCGGTTTCTAGACTTTCTGGGCCTGTATGTCCAGCTTTCTAAGACATGTCCTACAGAGTAGAGAAAACTGGCCCTACTTCTGCGGGATCTGAGCCATGGGTATGGGGACCTGGGGAAGGGATGAAATGAGTGGGGCTGGGGGGCGAACCAAAGATCTGATCCAGGAGAAAACTTCAGACCAAACCCAGTCTGGGTGCCTGGCCGTGCCCCAGATCCTGCTCTCCTCTCTGCCTTGACCTGTTTCCCCCTCACCCGGGGGTCCTTCCAACCTCACTCCGTGGACGCCACACAAGTTTCCAGCTCTCTTCTTCCTTTCACTGTAGAATCTCTCCATCCCAGAGGCTTTCCAGGAATCCTCCTCAGTGACATCACGGCTTTATCCACCAGGGTCGGCCTCAGGGCCCCTCAGCCCTCCTCCCAACCTCTGGGTTATACCCCCAAAGGCATCTTCAGTTCGCTCCCCCCGCCGCCCATGCGCACCCCCCACCAGGGTTCACTCGCCCCACCCCACGGGCTGCTTGTCCCCAGGCCCCAGATGCCGCGTCCCTGTGTGAGCACAGCTAGCTGACCATGTCGCCTTGTGTCTGCACTTCCCTGTATACGGTGGCTCGGCATGTCCCCGAACTGCGGGTTTATCTGGGCTCACACCTTCCATTTCCATTGCGTTTTTCCCGTTTCCAGAGTAGATGTCGCCCATGGTCTTAACCTAATAAATAAGTCTGTTGATTGCCGAAGGGGGCACCTGCATCTTTCCTTTATCCCAACAAGTGGAAGTGAAGTGAGAATAAGCGGGAACGCAGCTGGCTGGCCAGGGCCCCGCGTCTGCGTGTCCAAGGCTCACCTGTGGCCAGAGGGCGGGGGGCTCGCCGGGGCAGGGAGCACAAGGGGCTGTTGGCACGTGGGGATCTAGCTGCCCCCAGAGGCCAGCGTGCTGGTGGCTGCCCCCCCTCAGCCTCCGTTGGGGGGGCGGGGGCTGACTCCATATCTACTCCTAAAAAGGTCATTGACTCCCGGTGTAGGTGAGTGAGGCCACCTCTTCAAATGCTAACAGTACTTTTCCGGGAGGAGGAAATATTTGGGAAATTTTTAATGGTAATGCCTTGTAATCGGAAAACCAAAAGCAAAAAAACTTGGTGATCTTTAGAAACCCCTTTTCCAAGGATTCCTGCTTGAAGAGCCTTGTAGTTCAGTGACATGCACACTTTCCCTGTGTTTCCCCAAGTGAGGGTCGACAGTGGTCTCCATAGAAGGTCTGACCTGAATGCAATTCAGCCATCTCTGCTGCCCAAAGGGACGGAATGTGAGTCTCCAAAGGTTCCCCAAGTGGCGGGAAAATCACCTCAGATGCGTGTCTCCTGCTAGGAAATCATGGAAATCAGATCTGTTAACGGATCAAACAACAAGAAATCCAAATTCCAAATTATGCTCACCCTAACATATTATTTCCATTATTGTACCACATTACATTTCTCATGATTAAGCTAAAAACCAACTTTCCTAAATTTTCAGTCTACTAACTACCCTCACAGAAGACTGTGACAAATTAAAGCCCAACATTGTCTCTTAGGTGGAAATTCTGAACACCAGACAGGTCTATTATCATCACGTTCACTGTGATTTGTGACATACGACATTGTCAACAACTCTCCATTACTCAGCTTTGTTATTGTCAGCCTCCAGGCCCCATCTCCGTTTAGGTTTTGGTAATGATTGTGGTTATGATTATGATTTAGGACTTCGGATTCAAGACCTACATAACAATATCTAGATAAACACATTTCCATATATGTACTGCTAGATTATTTTAAAATGAATCCTCATGAAGGCTTGTAAATCAGGAGACCACACAAGTATTTGGGGAAGAGGTTGAGAAGAAGATGTAATGGATGAGAAGTGACTGTCGACATTTTCCCTCTGCCTCCTTTCAGAGATGAGAATCTGAAGCCAGGAGACATAAAGTGATTTGATTAAAGCATTGAGTCTGGGCACAAAGCAGGACCTGAACGCTGGTGTCCTTGCTCTCTGTGTCTAGGACATCTTCCGTGAACAAACCACAGTTGAATAGCAGGACTAGAGGCTTAGAGAAATTACCGAGGTGGGAGAGTCTTAGGCATGAAGAGGGTCAGGAGAAGAAAAAAGCAACTAAGTGTGCCACCTTTTACTTGGACCAAGGGCTGGCACCCAGAGAACCAGATAGAAAGGGCCCCTTCCCGTATCATTTCATGGATCCCCAACACCCAGTGTCCTTCCCATGCCCCTGCCTCAAACACTTCTCACCCCACACTGTCCACCCCATGCCACCCCATGCCACCCCTCCCCCACTGTCCTCCTGGGAGAAGAAAATCATTTATCATGGCTTTAAGTGTTCGTTTGTGTTCAAATTATACATTTAGAAAGTCAGAGAAAAACAAAGTCCAAATTTCTTTTTTTTTTTTTAAAGATTTTATTTATTTATTTGAGAAAGAGAAAATGAAAGACAGAGAGCATGAGAGGGAGGAGGGTCAGAGGGAGAAACAGACGCCCCGCTGAGCAGGGAGCCCCATGCGGGACTCGATCCCGTGACTCCAGGATCATGACCTGAGCCAAAGGCAGTCGCTTAACCAACTGAGCCACCCAGGCGCCCCCAAAGTCCAAATTTCTTTTAAAATACCTGGGAACCTCAGGCAATTGCTCTGCTAGTTCAGGATAATGTGTATCCTGAAATGTTATGTGAAATCTCACCCAGAACAGACGGGGCTGCCCCAAGAACCCCTCTCCGAGAATAGAAAGACAGTCATAGGTTTTAATCATCTCTGTGACTCCCCTCCCCTTCCCGCCATGATCCTTGACCTCCCCAAGATCCATGATTTCCTTGGCCATTCAAGGAAAATGGTCACTAGACACAGTACTGAGCTGACAGTAGATTCGTAGGGAACATCTGTCTCCTTCCTTCCCACCCCCCTTCCCCCTCCCCCAGCTCTAGCTTCTTTGCTTGAGACACCTCTAAGGAAGAACTTACCTGATGAGCCTTAAGGCTCTCTTTCTAGCTGGCACCTGGTACCAGTGCCTGGAGGAAATGATCAGTGTTGGTAGGTCTGGCTTTTTCCCCGAATTTTCTAAAAGAGATGACATTTGGTGTTGCTGGACCTCTAAAACCCAGAAAGTCTATCTGCATCCTTGAGAGATGTATTTGTCTTCACAAAATGCTTACGTACAACCTCCTCCCATACAAGCACTCCAATAATCAGACTTTAGCATTCTCTACAGATTGTTTCCATCTTATCTCCTGGAGAAGTTGGGCCCTGGCCTCTCAGGTCCCAGGGAACACCTTCCTTTGGTTATAGTCCCATCCCTGGCTCTCTCCAGTGAGTCACATTCAGACGTCGAGGCGCAGGTGGGCACGCCCGTCCGGAGCCTCTGCACATCCCTGTACACTATGCTTTGGGCCCCTGCACTCTGTGACTCACACATATTTGGGGCCAGAGCCCTGTTCCACAGAGGCCTGAACGCTTTTTTGGATGTGGCCCCTCCACCTTACCTTTGAAAGAAAGATCTAGCCTTTTCTTACAGCTAACCCCTAAAATAATGATCTCAAACTTGGGTGCTCACCTAGGAGTGGAGGGGAAGTCCTGCCAAATACAACTCCCAGGTGGCACTCTTAGGTCCGAGGTGGGAGGACGTTGGCAATACCCACAGGCTTTCACATTTCACCTCCTGCTAATGGCAGAGCGGGTCTCTGAGCCTGACAGGGTTGCTGTGCCTAAAGCGGGTGACTCGCAAACTTGGGCATGGCTCCGAATTACATGGAGGCTTGCTAGACACACCTTACTGGACTCTGTCCCCCAAACGTCTGCTTCAGTAGGTCTGGATGGGACTGAGAATTTGCCTCTAACTGGTTCCCTGGCGATGGGGATTCGACGCATAATTTAAGAGATGAAGCACTGCAGTCCTTCGGCTGAATGTAGATGTAACCCTCAAGCGCCTAGGAAAGCAGTTTCTCCGGTGGACAGAGGCGAAATGACTGGTCTACACTGCGGCAGGCAGTTAACTGACCAGTTCTAGCTTTGTCTGAAACTCGCAGTCAGGTTCCCAGACTCCCAGGCGGCGCCACTCTGAGCACAGGATCCTGACTCCAGGCTGGGCGATTACACCTGAAGTAGGTCCCGTCTGGCCTTAGGTATGATCGGAAGTGGCCGCAGCAGAGGCTTGGCATCAAGGCCCCCTGCCGGGTTTACTAGATACAGAAACTACTCACTTTTTTTTTTTTTTTTTTTTTGCTTTTTTAAACTGTTTATTGCAGTAAAACATCCATAGAGTAACGCCCGCAAATCCTCAGTGCACAGAGCTAAATGCACTCAGAACAAGAAGCCAGACCAGCCGGCGTCCAACACCGATTCCCGGAGTGGGGGTCGGGGGGTGGGGGGTGCGGTGAGCACCCGCTGGGTGACTTACAGGAAAGGCTGGGGAGGAGCGAGCGAGCGCCCGCGGGCTCGGCCTCAGCCTGCACCCACCTGGAGCGGCCTAGAGCCTCCTGGGGCAAAGCGCGTATGCCAAGAAGGCGGTGGCATGATTTGATCAGGATTCTGCCGAGAGTGCCCTTCTTCCCGGGCATCCCGCCCCGCTCCTCCGGGGCCCGGAATCGAATCCGAGGTCGCACAGCAGGTGCCCCTGAACCCCCCGGCAAGCGAGCGCCCCGGGCGGCTCTCGGAGGCGCGCTTTCCCTCTTCCACCGAGGAGTTTCCGGATCTCGAACAGAGAAGGCACTAGTGTTTCCGCAGAACCAGAAGTAAATTCGGCGCCAGGGCAGCACCCGCCGAGTCAGGATGGCCGAGCGGTCTAAGGCGCTGCGTTCAGGTCGCAGTCTCCCCTGGAGGCGTGGGTTCGAATCCCACTCCTGACAGCGCAACCCTTTTAGTTGTTAGACTAGTGAATGTATCCCGCCACCTTTTCCTGTATTCCACGCCCCCATAGGATGATCAATTTTTTTAAAATTTCTTATCCGCGCGCTAGAATTGAGCACTATGTACTTAGAAGACGATTTAAGAACTAGCAATTTTAATCTCATCCCTGTCTCTCTCACATTCAAGGAATTGAAGGAATGTCAACTCCTAAATGACACTGATGTCCCCAGGGCCCCTCTTTTGTGTTGTTTACTTATGGATTTCTTTCTAATACCTTTTTCTCAATCTCATTTCCCAATAACCATAAGAAATTACTGGAGAAAGGTCATCTTTTTCTTTCTAAATGTGTCTGTAGAACATACATTTTTGGTTTCAGTGCTTGCGTTTTTAATTCACGTAAATGGCGCTCTTTCACATATCCCATTCTATTTTTACTTTATTCCTGTCCTACCATGGTTTTGAGGCTTATTTCTGTTACTGTCTGCACATCTAGACCAATTGCTTCTAATTGCTGCACAGAGATCTGCAAGTGAGTACCCAGGGATGACTCCCAAATTGGGTCTCACGTCTTTCCACCACAGAAAAGGGTGCTGTCAATGAACATCTTCCTACATATTCCGATCCGAAGCTTTCCTTGACATACAACAGGAGCAAATGGCTGATCATGGGGGTCTGTCCATCAGGGCAGTTTGCAAAGTTTGCACTTTATAACAGGATCCCGGACCCAGGGAACGTGGTTTAGAAACACAGAAATTCATGTTTAGTGACGTCTTCAGAAATAGCCCTAAAATTCAAGTTTCCTGATGTCCTGATAAGTCATTAATGTCTTAAGCATTAATAGCTAGTT